ACAAATAAGAGGTTTTGTAGTTGTTTTTTCACCGCCCCCCTCATTAAGTATAGCACGACGACGTAAAATAGTAATTTTAAATTGTTGGAATTGTGTTCTTCGCTACGTCTTAGGACATCCAGTTAGTTATAAAATTTGGAAGAAACATATTGCTGAAAGTATTTTGGGGTAAAATCGTGATTTGTTGCGTCACCCGTAGAATTATACCAGTATTCAATGAATATGTAACAATATTAATTCAGGAATACAACGTTTCATTAGGTAAGATAATTAAATCGTCTATTTATAAATATTCTAAATGGAATATTGTAGAATAATTCTAAAAATTAAAATTCAAACATCATTTTTTTTTAATCGTCGAACTGTTGATATTACTGTGAGAACTGGCATTTTATGAGATTTTTAACTTGTATTGCAAGATGGTCTATTATTAAACGTGTAACTTTAAATGGTCAAATGATTTAACTGTTGAATTATGAAAATTCATTTTTAAATTCGTAATATTATTTGTCAATGACTAGAGCATTATAGAATATCACTCAAACATGTACTACAATGGTACATGTGTATTATATATAATTACATCATCCAATCGTTATTATTATACAGTCACGCCTCATATGATACCACGAGTACACTACCGGGCAAAAGAAAGTATCGTCACGTGTTCATTCCCAAGTTGAAACTGAATAGTTCACAGGGCATAAGTCCATAAGGGAGGTGCTATGGGGTGGTGCTTAGAGGTTAAAGCGTTCGCTCGTCAAGTCAAAAGCCCAGGTTCGATTCCACACACGAGTACAATGTGTGAAGCCCATTTCTGGTGTCTCCCGCCGTGATATTGGTGGCATTTTGCTAAAGGCGGCGTAAAACTAAACTCGAGCATCCCTTAAGAATACAATTGTACGGATGCTGAAGACCAATTCTAACCCGGATCTTCACGGGACTGTTATACAGCGATTCAACCCATGTGGCATTTCTGGTGTCCCCCGCCGTGATTTTGCTGGAATATTGCTAAAAGCGGCGTAAAACCAAACTCAGTCAGTCAACCCATGTGGGAAATCGAACCCGAATCACTGGGCTACTCGGCTCGTAACTGCCGACGCGATTATGCTCATGAGAAATAACAACAAACACGATCCACTGGCGTCTTCGTAGGCAACTGACTGAAATATGCCCCTGTTCAATAAGCAGTGAATGGGTACCCGGTAGGATGGATTAATAGTGAGAATAGAGAATGAAAATCGAGTGCAACTAATGCATTGACAGTGACTATAACGGTTTGAATTTCTTTGAGTTCAGAAGTTATAATATATATTGTTTAAGACGTTTTTCAAACTTTCGCTAATTTTTGTAAATCGCAGTTCGAACGATGACGAATTACCAGATAACGTCACCTTTGTTCGGCAGAATATTGAACAAAAGAACTCTCAACACCACCAATAGAGGGCGCGCATTTAAATGACAGACAAAGCATCACGGATCACTGTCGACATTGTCCCAGCCGAGAAGGGATATCCCTGATCTAAAAATAGATACAAAGTGGGTCAGATATTCTCATTGAAATCATTTCGCGCCAAGAATAACCCATCTCGTCCGTTCACGCGAGATTTAGAATGTAAGGAAAATGGCGGCACACAAAGCGGAGTGTTGACCAAATTTCCACTAATAGATTCATCAATCGGATTTTATGAGGACTCATTGCAAGGAGAGAACTTCGTGTACATGAGGAAAGAATTATTGTCATCGGATTTTCGCGATATGGCAAGAAGATCGCATATATGTTCAAAAGACATTCCTGGCGCCCACCTCCGTGTTCGTGACGATGTCTCGACTGTGTTTTAATTCTCAGCTTTCTTCGTGAAACGCATTTTTGAGTGACTGATACTTCATTGACATTCGCCATGGCAGGGAAAGAGTACAAGCCAGGCGATAAAATATTTGCCAAGATGAAAGGCTACCCACATTGGCCGGCGAGGGTAAGTTTCTAAAAACGGAAATGATGTTCTATATCGCAAGGGACTTCCTGTTCGTGGACACCACGTGTGAAGTGGACATGCGGTCTCTCAGTTCGACCAGTCCAGTTGTCCTTATTTCTTGTCATACGACCAGTGACAGGCACTATGATGCTCAGGCTCTCCACCTGAATGCTCCACACAGGTTGTCATTAGCAAACTCAACTTTTAGCAAGCATAAATCTTGAAAAATTCGAATTCATTTACTGGTATTGCATTTGTAGTTTTTTTTTATTATTTTGCTGTTGTACAAGGAAATAACCATGCCATGAAAACATTCACGCATTTTGAATGCATATGTGGTCAAACTGAACGTTTTTAACATTTGTTTGTGAAATATTAGCATCCTGTGTATTTTTGTGAAGATGTTGATAATATTTTGTATTTCAGATTGATGAACTCCCAGATGGTGCAGTCAAACCCCCTAAAGGAAAATATCCAATTTTCTTTTACGGTACACATGAAACGTAAGTCAAGCACATTTGAAACATTAAATTTAGCACTCCATAAACTACATGATCCAAACAACCCTTTGTAAATGATAACTGTTCTCTTATATGAACTGTAGACTCAGGTTCAATTCTCCACATGGGTACAATGTGTGAAGCCCATTTGGTAAGAGTTCCGCCCGTAACCCACGCTTGAAAAGTATTCTAATTATTATGATTATTTTAAGGGGTAAGGGTTTAGGTTTAGGGTTTAGATTCAGCATTATGTTAGGGTTAGGATAGGCTTTCTATTAAAAAACATATATTTTTCAGAGGTACTGATAAGCTGCGTATCTGCGTAAATTACGCAAACATTTATGTGAAAACTCAATTCTTACCAAGCCTGTTGCGTACAAGTACGCTTGAATTTTTGTAAATACTCAATATATTTGATCTTACATGCGTACACACAAAAATGTCAAATCTTTGTTTGCGTACAGGTGCATAGATAAAATAACTGAGGTACATTGAGAGGTTCTATTTCAACACATGAACTAGGCAACTTGCAGTCTTTCTTATAGTTTCCCATATTACAGATCCAATATAAATAACATTTAAACGTCATTATATTTTTATAATTAATGGAAAATGAAGAAATACCCAATTGAGTTTGAATGAGGTGGGTACAATATATTTGGTTACTCAAAGGAAAATTAGGATACCCAATTGAGATGAGCACAAGCGAGTACATAACTCAATGACCCAAAATGTTATCTGTAGCTCTGATTTCTACTATAAATCTTTGGCATAGAATGACAATAAAACGGGGGTTACGGGCGGAAATCTTTCCGCCCATTTCTGGTGTCCCCTGCCGTGATATTCTCAAGGCGACCTAAGACCATACTCTACTCTCTCCCCACACACACACACACACATACTCTCTCTCTCTCACTCTCTCTCTCTCTCGTGCCTCATCATAGGTTTCACTATTACAATTTTGGAGAAAGATTTAGAAGTTTTCTGCTGTATGGGACAAATGATTTTGAAGTTCTATTATTAGTTTTGTAATCCATGATTTTGAAACGGAGACCGGAAGGCATAAGTTCTTAACATTCATTTAAAAAGTGTGATGGATCCGATTATAATGGCCAGAGCTTTCTTCTTAACTTTTGACTCATACTGAAAAGGGAGAGGTTCAAACTTGAAGCCGCAAATTTTGCTGGATATGTTTACAATTTTGTCAAGTTTGTTTTTCTGTGTACGAGGAAGATTGCCATACCAGGCATGAAAGCAGAAAGTTAAAATACTATTAATGAATGTTTGGTAGAATAATTTAAGATATTAGTGTCTACATTAAATGATCGCAATTTTCGCTGAAAGAAAAGCCTCTGTTCTTCTTTCCTATGTACACGATGTGAATTTGATTTCCATGAAAGTTTTAAGCATAGCTGTTTATATTAAAGAATTCTGCACAGTTGTGAATTCCTGTTTGCCATGCTTTTGTTCGGAAACAATGTATATTGTAAGTCAAGTCAGTTCATTGCAAATGTGGGCGATGGGGTAGCCTAGTAGTTAGGTGTTCGCTCGTCACGTCGAAGGCCCAAGGTTGATTCCCCACATGGGTACAATGTGTGAAGCCCATTTCTGGTGTGCCCCCGCTTTGATATTGCTGGAATATTGCTAAAAGCGGCGTTAAACTAAACCCACTCACTCACTTATTGCAAATGTGTTTGAAGCTTTGAAATATTTGTCATACAATATTGTTTGGAAAAAGGAATATATAGGCGATGATTTTCTTCATTTAACATGTTGAAAGCAGACCTAAATTACAGAGAAATATATGTTTTGTTCGTATCTAACTCACAAAAAGTGATTGGATTGGGTACGAGTTCTCCAGCTTAGAACAACTTGTCCCAAAGGGAGAGAAATGTATTGTCTAATATAATTTGTGGTGCATTCTGATAACATTGCAGTCATTTTTGGTACTTATTCCTAATAGAGGCAACAATGTGTAACCATATTCTTCCAGTGCGTTCCTGCTGCCGAAGGATATCTTTCCATATGACGAGAACAAGGAAAAGTACGGGAAAAAGCACGCGAGGAAGGGTTTCAATGAGGGTCTCTTTGAGATTGAAAACAACCCTGATGTCAAGTTTAAAGCACCGGTTAGTTTTGCACTTTGACCTTTGCACTTGTGACCTTGGGTGAGACTCTATGAATATGACCACTGCACTATGTCCGAAAATTGTAGCTTTAAAACTCAGAACAATGTTTATAGTTTATTGTAATCTGAGCTCAAACCATTGTCTGGTGTGTTCGGGTAGCCAAGTGGCTAAAGTGTTGGCTCGTCACGCTGAAGACCTGGGTTCAATTCCCCACATGGGTATAATGTGTGAAGCCCATTTCTGGTGTCCCCTGCTGCAAAATTGCTGGAATATTGCTAAAAGTAGTAAAAGCAGACTAACGAATTGCTCACTAACACAAAATCTTAAGATTGTAACAAAACCAAATTTTGCACAGTCACATGAAATCGACAGACCAGCTCTGATGTCTCATAATTTTGGACACCCGAAAAACTTTAAAAGTTGCTATTTTGTAGGAGGGGAGGTTGCCACTTGCTGGTATTACTGCTATTTGCAGTACTTTGGGGTTTGCATCTCTGCTTATGTTATCAAATTAATTCAAGCATGCTATGGATCTGAGCTTCATCTCAATTTCTCAGAATTCTGGGTTTTAAGTTCACCATTTTCGGTGTAATACAGCATTTTGAACATTTTAAATCCTGATAATTCATGTCTGGTGTTTCTGTGGCAACAGACAAGTTCCGAAGACGATGAGGAGATGGAGGAAGAAGAGGAGGAACCCGAGGAAGAGGAGGTGAAGGAGAAACCAGCCAAACCCAAGAAAGCCCAGGTACGAACTCATGTTGTTGAAAAACTTGTGAATATTTGAAGTGAGGAAGGATTGGGTGTGATAAAGAAGTTGTTCATCCATATATTGTGTTCCTTAGTTCTCGGGCGGTGGGGTAGCCTAATGGTTAAAGCGTTGGCTCGTCACGCCGAAGACCTGGGTTCGAATCATGGGTACAATGTGTGAAGCCCATTTCTGGTGTCCCCTGCGTGATGTTGCTGGAATATTGCTAAAAGCGGCGTAAAACCAAACTCAGTCAGTCAGTGTAACTTGAATACATGACCAGGGCTCCAGATTATTTTTCAACATCAGGAGTACGTACTCCTTATTTGTTCAATATAGGAGTACCGGAAAACCTTAAGTGTACATGTAGAGTACTGAATTGAAATTAATGGAGTATCAGTAATCTTGTGTTTCGTTTCATGCATGCACCACAACATTGATTCTTGGGTAATGAACAATAAAACAAGACTTTTTCAGATAAATACGTCTGTAAATGATTCTAAGACCGTACACCATTGCTGTGGTGCGTATTTGCTACGTTTTCTAAATTATTTCCTACCGTATCGTGCATATTTTTCATCCATACATACACCGATACGGCCCTTATCTGGAGCCCTGCATGACACATTTTATGGATAACTGTTTTTGTTTCTTAAAAAAATATATAAAGAAGTTGTTATCCATAAAACTTGTCATTTATTCATGTTCATCCAACTTCTAAATGCCTTTCAGGAAGTATGAACTTTATTGTAACTTGTAAGAGGTGACACGGTATAGACTTTTACTGATGCTGAAATGATGGTGTTTTTATGTGTGTCACATAAGAAAATAATGCATTTTTAGCTAATTTGGCAATGCAATGTAGCATGATGAGATGGTAATTTAACTGTTAACATCCTAGGGCATCGAAGATGGTGTGGGTAGTACCCTCCCCAGGGAGTTGAGAATGAAAATCAAGTGCTCTCTGATACTCTTATAATGTAGTTATTAGGGAATATGTTTTTGTAAGTTCCAGTTTAAACTACGACTGGTTATCGCTATGGGTGATAGAGATCGGTAATTGTTCAATGAATATCAATCGATAAATATTAGAAGTAATTTTGAGCAAAATGACTAAAATTCTGAAAGAAACCAACACATTTCACATCAGTGGTGAGCGTCGACATGAAGACATGAATACCAGTAACTCCATGTCCTGAACATACTATGGTAGCAGCCCATAAATAAAGAAATAAATTTGTGCATTTTCGGGAACAAATTTAGAAATTATTTCATCACAATAGTGCATGTGCAATATTATCGATTGCACAATTTTTGTATCGATAGTCAATTGATGATGTTTTCAATTATCGATCTGTTAGCCAGCCCTAATAGAAACTCACTTAAGACTCAAATCCTCCAAGTCAGATTTCAATTTGTTCATACTTCAGAGTTATGTAAGAGACTGAGCTGACAGCTCCATCTGTGGGTCGTGCATGGATGGTGTAGATGATGATGTTGTATTGGACAGTTGTTTGTATTAATCTCTGCATCTGTCATTCTAGTCAGATGATGATGATTTTCAGAAGGGGAGACCACCCAAGGAGGCCAAGCAACCCCAGAAGAGGAAGTCTACGGCTGGAGGGGTAAGTTTTCTGGGATTCTGGGTGGGTGTGACCGTCGCCGTGACCTCGGGAGATTTTGGGTGGAGGTGGGTGTGACGGTGGTGGTGTATGTGGTCGTTCCCCTATCGATACTGTTTAGAGCAACCAAGGCTATTAAATTTCGCAATGATAATAAAGTAGGGTTATCTTTCTTTGCTATTTATCACTTTTCAATAAATAGTCCAGTAAACATTAACATCAAATACCACGTTGATGTATTCTTTCATAATTACATCATCATAATTGTGTCATAAAATCAGGGGGCGGTGGGGTAGCCTAGTGGTTAAAGCGTTGGCTCGTCACGCCGAAGGCCCGGGTTCGATTCCCCACATGGGCACAATGTGTTAAGCCCATTTCTAGTGTCCCCCGCCGTGATATTGCTGGAATATTGCTAAAAGCGGCGTAAAACTAAACTCAGTCAGTCAGTCAGTCATAAAATCAGGACAAGTGGATAGTTAGTCAGGACAAGTTACTTTCTTAAAGTCACTTGCCCTGTGGCAAGTGGCTTTTTATAAAAAAATTGATCCCCTGTACACAGGTTTGGTCTATGTAACCAATTACATGATTATTGAAAGAAAGCAGACTTGTTTACTTTTTGTACTACTGGTCTTTAATTCAACTGAAGATAGAATTACTTGTTTAATAACTTACACAGTAAAACTACTGCCTTGTACTTGGGGAAAATTTTTCCTGCACATGGTTTGACCAGACAATAGACACGTGAAGGTCCAGGTTAGAATGTGCCTTCTGTAGCCCATAATTGTCGTAAGAGGCGACTAACGGGATTGAGTGGTCAGGCTCGTTGACTTTGTTGACACATGTCATCAGTTCCCAATTGCGCAGATCGATGCTCATGCTGTTGATCACTGGATTGTCTAGTCCAGACTCGATTATTTACAAACTGCCACCATATAGCTGAAATATTCCTGAGTGCGTCGTGAAAATAAACTCACTGTTTTTCGTGGCGAGGATTGATGCTCATATTGTCAACCACTGGGTGAGAGCCAGACTAGACTATTTACCGACCGTATATAACCGTAACGTAATTGTGTGCTCTGTTACGACAGGGGACACTGATACTGTTATGATCGTTCAATGTTCAGAAGACCCTGGTTGGATTCCCCACATGGTGACAATGTGTGAAGCCCATTACTGGTGTCCCCCGCACAGATCAATGCTAATGCTGTTGATCACTGGATTGTGTGGCTCTCCTCCTCTCTCTCTCTCCCTCTCTCTCCTTCCTTCTTCCTCTCTCCTCCTCCTCCTCCTCCTCTCTCTCTCTCTCTCTTTCTCTCCTCGGCTTTAAACTAAACTCACTCCTTGTGTTTGTTGCAGGCCAAGGCAGCGTCGGCCAAGAAAGCCAGGAGGGTGTCACGGTCTGTGTCCAAGGACTCCAAGGAGGAAGGTCGAGAGGAGGAAGACTTTGATGCCGGATCCTCCCCACCATCAGACAATTCCGATGACGAGGTAAGGGGACGAGGCTATGGTTCATTTCTCTCAGCTCAGTGCAGTGCTCATTCTACTCACTGTCAAGTCTTAAAGTTTGAATCTGCAGACCTGCAATGTTTTAAACTGTCACTTCTTCTGTAAAGTGATGGATAGATTGTCTACTTTGAGAGCAGTAGGTGGGGGTTTGATTCTTAGCTGGGTCAAACCGAAAGATGTTCAAGGATACTACTTTCTGAGGTGCGGGTGGGGGTGAGAGGTAGCCAAATGGTTAAAGCTTTCGGTTGTCACACCAAATACTCGGGTTCGATTCCCTGCATGGGTACAATGTGTGAAGCCTTTTTCTTGTGTTGCCTGCCGTGATGAAATGCCCATCAAAGAAATGCGGTGGTAATGCTGGAATATTGCTAAAAGCGGCGTTAAACTAGATTCATCGGCTCACTTTGTGGGGTGTGGCATCAGCCGATGAAATGGCTGGCTCAGAGTTTGAAATAGAAGTATCTCTACGAATCACACCACATCCATGGCCTCAGGATATTGTTAACAGTCTTACAGCTGTAATACATTGCGATGCAAGGCGTTGCACCCCAGCACTACATGAGAACACAGCACTACATGAGAACACTGGTTGAGAAACATAAAACAGCAAACTGGTCCAAGTTTTAATTTAGGGCTGGATATTGCCCTGATATTCATATCGTTGTTGATATATTGCAATAATTTAAGAGATATTGCAGTATATATTGTGATATATTGACTGGAATGTTTCTGCCTGCACCACAGAGTGTACATCATAAATTCATAATAGCTTTCTGTGTATATTGACATCGTCTTCTCCGTTGCTGTTACACCATACTTTCAGGCTCCCCGTACCCATAAGGTGTATGGCTGTATACCAATCGATTTAAAGATAAAGCCCTGAAATAATATAGAGCCTTAATGTGGAATATGTTGCACCAATGTTTTGCGAACATAATGATAAAGGTAATAGTATAACATGATTTTCATAGTCAGTATTGTTTGTTTAAACAGAATGTACTTCAGTGCAGTATGTAATTATTGTTACTGTATGTGATTCATTCAGATTCAATGTGTTAACATGAACTATTCCCAAATGAAACAAAAACAAGATTTAGTTGAGCTATTGAGATTAAAATCGCATGTGACCTCCAGGAGCTAAGATCCTTGACTGGAATGTCATTATACAGTCCTATAAGACTCAGACCTGTAGGATAAATTGATATCATAGACAAACCATTATGAAACAAACAAAAAAACCAACTACTGTGAACTGTGAAATGGTCACTCAGAGCCAGAGGCGTAACTAATAAGTCCAAATAAATATTGGTCCATTTGAGGCCACTTAATTCCTCCAAATGAAACCATTCAAACCCCCAAAACGTAAAGTATTTGGTAGACTATTTGGCAATTTTGGAGCCACTTATAAAAATGACACTTCACTTGTAAAATGTTACATGAAACCAACAGAAATAAAAGTATCTTTGGCACTTTTAGAGCACATGTGTTTGCTATGGAAATCAAGGGCAGATAATTCAAAGGGAGCTAACTCTGGATGGCCCAATATATTGCAGAATCTGAACCATATCGCGATAATTGTATGGCGAGATACTGTACCGGTATATACGGTTTACAGTATTGCACAGCCCTAGTTTAATGTATAATATATGCTCCCTGAGATGACAAGTATGGTGTGGATAATCTCCGGCCCAGACTCTAAGTGATCTCGGAGCTGAGGTGGTTGTAACTCACTACCTAAATACAGACTTACGACGATCTTAGCACGAAGGTTGTAGTGTACAGCGGCACCCTGCTTCTTTGTTCAGGCCTGTCTGAAGTTACATTATGAGGTCATGTTGTACTGCTGATGTGACTAGAAATGCTCGTTCGCTCACTCACTCACTCACTCACTCACTCACTCACTCACTCACTCACTCACTCACTCACTCACTCACTCACTCACTCACTCACTCACTCACTCACTCACTCACTCACTCACTCACTCACTCACTCACTCACTCACTCACTCACTCACTCACTCACTCACTCACTCACTCACTCACTCACTCACTCACTCACTCTGGAAGTATTACTATCACAGGAGTCAGGTCACAGTGATGACAGTTATAATCCCAGCTCGCTTGGAGTCCACAGGACGTTGAAGAGAGAAAACTCTGAGTGACCTGAACATGTCAAAGTATTATTCCAGACCAAATTGTTAAATCTGTCAGAGATCAGGCTTGAAAACATGGTGATAACTTGAATTTTGTTGATTGATGCCACACTTTGCAATATTCTAGGTATATGGTAGTAGCCTGTAAATAATCATTCGTCTGTTTGCTTGCCTCTGTTGACCAATTCCTGAGCATCTTTTCTCACTGGAGTCCCAACGGAAGTGTTATGACTTCAAAGCTGTACTATCAGGGAGTGTTGGGGTAGCCGTCACAGGCCCTCGTGTCTTTGCGAAGATTAAAGATTAAAACAAAATAAAACATTTGAGATGACCCCCGACACGAAATGCTACACAGTACAATACATTATGACAAGGCCGGGAAATGCTACCCCACAGTACAATACATTATGACAGGCCGGACTGTACTATCAGGGGAGTGTTGGGCATGGTGACTTCCGATTGGCTCACTGCTGTATTTGTGAAGACATACCACTTGACGGACCATCACTTTACATTGACACACATTCGATTGGTTAGAGGACCAAAAATTAGAAAAAAATGGTCACGATGATGACAATTATAATCCCAGCTCGCTTGGAGTCCACAGGACGTTGAAGAGAGAAAACTCTGAGTGACCTTAAGTTCTTTAATGGTTTTAGCTGAAGTTCAGTTTTTTGTCCTTTTTACACAAATATTGGACAGTATAATTCTTGTCTAGAAACAGTGAAAGTACATAACAGTAAGAGGAATGGAAATGTTTTTTCTCTACGCTAGCAAGTAGCAAGTCGATTGAAACCTGATTTTGACCCTCAACTAAACGATCTTGACACAAAGGGATGACGATATGTCCGCACAAAACAGGGGTGTGGTCGAAGCAAGCCCTCTGATTGGTCAACACTTGCAAATCTGCAATTCTTTATGAATTCGCGGGATTTTTTTCTTTCATCGACTGCTTAATGTAAGAATGTTTTCCGAGCAATGGTTTCTCTGAAGAAAGCATCAGCTGTAAATGTCTTCTAAACAAGGATCAACCAATCAGAGGGCTTGCTTCGACCATACCCCTGTTTTGTGCTGACACATCGTCATCCATTTGTGTCAAGATTGTTTAGTTGAGGGTCAAAATCAGGTTTCGATCGACTTGCTACTTGCTAGCGTAGCGATCGGCAAAGCAAGGTATACTGAAGTGTCCGGCCTTGTCATAATGTATTGTACTGTGAAGCATTTCGAGTCAGGGGTCATCTCAAATGTTTTATTTTTTTTAACATCTTTAATCTTCACAAAGACACGAGGGCCTGGGGTAGCCTTGTTGTTAAAGCCCATGTGAAGCCCATTTCTGGTGTCCCCTGCCGTGATATTACTGGAATATTGCCTAAAACCATACTCGCTCACTGTAGTGGTGGTCCGATTAATTGAAATAATCGAAGATTGGTCGCAATGACTAAATGACCAAGCAATCGATCATGTTTTCTCATAATCGAACACAAACAATTTTGGCACACTTGTTTGCATTAACAACATTTTTCACAAGGTTGGTTTTGTCTGTTACATTTCATAAGTACTACAAGCTCGTTCCTTGTCATGATTGAATTTATCTTAAAGATTTCAGGAAATTTATGTTCCCAACATACTAGTCATCCTTTATAGATGTGAAATTTGTAAATGCATTTTGTGCAATTATCCAAAAAACCGAAAGAACAACATCTAAATATAGATTTTTTGTGCATTAACGAACATAACCAGGAGAATTTGCTAAATCGCGCTAAGCAATTTTTTTCGATGATTGATCGGTTGTAATGAACCAATCATCAATTGTGAGATTTTAACCAATTCCCAACAGTAATCAACTGAAATCAGGATGGAAACAGGGGCGGAGGTGTAGCCTAGAGGTTAAAGCGTTGGCTCGTCACGCCGAAGACCCGGGTTCGAATCCCCACATGGGTACAATGTGTGAAGCCCATTTCTGGTGTCCCCCGCCGTGATGTTGCTGGAATATTGCTAAAAGCGGCGTAAAACTAAACTCAGTCAGTCAGTCAGTCCAAGCTAGTGACATACATTTGCATTGCAGTAAACTCTAAAAGAACGTAATCTTTATTGTACAGAAATAAGGACTGGCTTGTACCTTTTAGTCTTCAGTGGGTGCATATAAAGATTCCCCTACAGATTGTTCTAGAAGCTGGTAACACAGGCTTATTGTAGCATGGTGACTTCAGATTGGCTCACTGCTGTATTTGTGAAGACATCCCAGTTGACGGACCTTCACTTTACATTGACACACATTCGATTGGTCAGTGGACCAAAAATTAGAAAGAATGGTCACGATGATGACGATTATAATCCCAGCTCGCTTAGAGTCCACAGGACGTTGAAGAGAGAAAACTCTGAGTGTCCTTAAGTTCTTAACTGGTTTTAGCTGAAGTTCAGCTTTTTGTTCTTTTTACACAAATATTGGACAGTATAATTCTTGTCTAGACACAGTGAAAGTACATAACAGTAAGAGGAATGGAAATGTTTTTCAGTTGTTACCAATATTATTTACATGTGGAATACATCCTTAATAATCTCCAGGGTATACGTTAAATCTCCACTTGTACCCTGGATGCATCTACGGCTTGGCCCGACAATTGTATTACCTCCCTTTGCTGGCTTTTTATCCAATCAGGTATTTACACTGGGAAGCTAAGCGTACCAATTACAAGGCTTCCATCATAACTCAATTCCGCTTCTTTTATCAAACTGATTAAACAGAATTGTGGCATTGTACCCTGAAACTGAGTGAAAGCGGTAGAAGGAGTTCTATTTTAAGGTTTCAGACCTGTCAATTTGTTCGTATGATTTTTTCCTTAAATCTGCGTTGCACAGCAAACAAACCTTCATGGCTGCGGCTGCGATCTTTGTTGACACTGGCAGGCTCGATTGTAGAGGTTTATCTGACTGTCTGCTTTGAGAAGGCAGATCCAGCGAAGGGAGGTAATACTCATATAAATATCAGGCCGAGCCGTAAATGCATCCAGGGTATGAGCGGAGATTTATCGGAATGTAGACCCTGGAGATTATCGAGGATGGTGGAATATGGGACAGAATGTAATCATTCGTTCATAAACTTCATCGTCTGTCTGGGTCGCAGGTTTGTACAACTTATAAAGGTAAATACTCAGTAAATAACTGAGTAAATATTTCCGCTACCCAAAGAAAATTGATTCATTGATCACTATTTCCAACCATGTATTTGTAATTGAAGACGCGTGAGAAATAACCGAGCGACTGTGTGATGCGCGAAATGTCAGGTCCGACTGGATATAAATAGGGACAGCGTAGTTTTTAGCCAATCGAAAAATAGTGACGCATATCGTTGCATGGCAACGCAAGGGATTCCTACTGTCGGGGTTTCCATATGTGTCAAATCGTGTTTCGCAAAGAAACTCTTGACAACAAGTATTTATCCGAAATAGATCTCCACTTGCACGATACGCATGGAAATTAAATGTTAGACGTACGAAGGTATTTATGTATGTATACGATACGCTTGAAATCTTATATTGTGTCGTACTTAATTGATTTTAAGGCATACATTACGCCTGTACGCCCCTCATCTGTAGCCCTGATTGATGCTCATGAGGACAATCACTGGATAGTGTCATCTGATTTTCTTAACATCTGGTCACTATGATGACAATTATAATCCCAGCTCGCTTGGAGTCCATGGGACGTTGAAGAGAGAAAACTCTGAGTGACCTTATTTATCATGAAGTTTGACCAGAAAAAAGTGAGATCACAAATATCGGTTTGCTATGAAATTTCTAAATTACTTGGCCCAGAAGTTGGGAATAGTTATAGGTATGAAAGTGCTCCTGTTGGTTTGAGGTGGAGGATTTTGGTTAAAGCTGGTGGGCAGTTGTTGTAGCTGGTGGATGTTGGTTGTAACTGCAGACGATTGGTTGTGCTTGTAGATTGGTTAAAGATGGGAGGAGAAATATAGTTGTGTAACATATTGGTTCAGCTGGAGAGAAATTGTTGAATCTAGAGACAGCGAGCTGAATCTGGGGAGAACTGGTTTCAGCGGGAGAGAATTGGTTTCAGCTGGTAAGAACTGGTTGTACCTGAAGGAGGATGGTGATAGCTGGAATGAATTCATCTCTGCTGTTCTATATTCTTTGTGATGTTTATGTTGCAGGACTTTGCTGAGGAAAAGAAACCTAAAGGGAAGCGAGGGCGGCCATCAACCGGTGCTGGGCGGGGTAGGAAGAAGTCAAAGGCTGTGTCGGAAAGCGAGAGCGGTGACGACGACGAGGTGGAAGATGGGGAGGATGCAGCAGAAGAAGAAGAGGAGGAGAAACCCAAGGCGAAGGCCAAAGCTAAACCCAAGAAAGAAACCCCCAAACCTGCTGCCAAGAAGGCTGCTCCCAAGAAAGGTACAGTCATTAAATATTTTTTTGTTGGGTTTGTCAGAAGGATTGTTGTAGCCAAAGTCATTGGTTGTAGCTGTTGGGAACAGGTTTTAGCAAAAGGTCGTTGGTTGTAGGTGACTGGAATGGGTTGTAGCCAAGCTCACTGGTTGTAGGTGATTGGAACAGGTTGTAGCCAAATATCCTTGGTTGTAGGTGATGGGAGTGGGTTGTATCCAAGGCCGTTGGTTGTAGGTGATCGGGTATGCGTTGTAGCCAAAGGTAATTTGTTGCAGCAGAAGTTGTTTGTAGTTGAATGTTATGAAATACTATTGAAAGCAACATGACAGCAAACTCAAAATACTGGTCAGTTTGTATAATTTTACACAATTGTTCCAGCTTTTGATGTTTGCAGTGGAATGAAGTTTATTTCCATATGGAGAGCAAATATTAAAGATTGACATTATAAAGTCCCTTTACCCCAGGTAAAGCAGGGAGACATAAGGTTTATCTAATGAAGTTGTTGATCACTGGATTGTCTGGTCCAGACTCGATTATTAACAGACCGCCGCCATATAGCTGGGATATTGCTGAGTGCGGCGAAAAACTAAACTCACTCACTCACTCCAATGTCCTTTATGTCAAACTGCAATCTTTTCCAAGTTCCATGTCAGTAATAAATGGTCACAATGATGACAATTATATACCCAGCTCGCTTAGAGTCTAAGGACGTTGAAGAGAGAAAACTCTGAGTGACCATTATTTTACATTCAGTAAGATCAACCACAAGAAAAGTAAGCAAGTTTAAGCCTGGAATCGTTTTACTACAATACATTCTGCTTAACACTACTGATAGAGGATAGGCCTTGCTCCACAAACCATGGATGGTGGGTAGCCTTGTGGTTAAAGTGTTCGCTCTTCACTTGGGTTTGATTCCCTTCATGGATACAAAGTGTGAAGCCTATATCTGTGGTTCTCCATTGTGATATATCTGTATTGCGAGAACCAGTGTACAGCCATCTTCACTCTGTAACAAAACAATCTAAAAGCTATGACTGCGTTAAATATCATTATGATCATCATCATGATATCAGGGAGTCACGAAAAGTGCCGAACTAAAAAAAATGTTTTTCAGAATTGGAAATTCAGCGCTAAAATAATAAATTTAATGTTTATAGATCTTCTGTATTATTCTAAATATCATATGTTGCCCAGTCATCAACATCAACTTTTATTTGCCTCATAATTGTCAGTCCAACTGTCCACATTTTGCAGTATTCAGTTGAAAAATGTGATAGAGGTTGTTTCGACATTTTTCTGATCTGCTACCAGCGCTGCGTAGCCTAGTGGTTAAAGTGTTCACTCGGCACGTCGGAGACCTGGATTCGATTCCCACATGGGTCCAATATAGGATACTGGCAAGGCTCCAGATAAGGGCTGTATCGGCGTATGTACGGATATGAAATAACCACGGTATGGTAGGAAGTAATTTAGGAAACGTAACAAATACGCACCACAGCAATGGTGTACGGTCTTAGAATCATTTACAGACGTATTTATCTGAAAAGGTATTGCTTTATTGTTCATTGACCTGTTTACACAAGAGTAGCAATGTTGTGGTGCATATATGAAACGAAACACAAGATTACTGATACTCCATTAAATTCTATTCAGTACTCTAAATGTACTCTTATTGTTTTCCAGTACTCCTATATTAAAAAAAGGAGGGAATATGTACTCCTGTCATGAAAAATTATCTGGAGCCCTGATACTGGGATATTGCTAAAAGTGGCATAGAACTAAACTTGCTTACTCACTCATTTTTTTAATGTGTTAAGGCCTAAAAAAATAGTTTCCGATTACCTGACCTACCCTTAAATTCTGGTGCCGACCATATTCTTTTTAGGCGATATGAATAAATTACGCTTTCGGATTCCATCAATTTTTCCTGGCACCAAACAGACATTGGTAATTCTGATAGAGAATGTTGACATGATGGCTGCAAACTTGATTGAATAAACAATTACACATGGATAAATGTGTTATTAATTTGCACTTGACTCCTAAAAAAATGTATAAAAAAATCCTACCTACCCTAAATTTTGTAAGCGGAACCACAACATTTTTTTATTTGGCCTAAACATCAGTGGAAATTGTGGTCAAATTTCCCCTATCTTCTGCTCCAGTAAAATGGCCGAGTCGAAACACTTTTTGAGACTAATGCTCAGCTAACAGATGTACTAACTCGAATAGAATTGTTTCCGCTGCCAATCAACTGGCAGTCAATGAAGGTTTTGAATGTTCAACATGGCTGAATGTTTCTGCTTCTCGTTGTTGTGAATACTGATATCGTGATAACTTGCATGAACAGACGTTTCATTCCGCGATACCACGTTTAACGGAACCGTGTCACAGCTAATAACGGATTAATGAAGAAAGTCGAGCACCACTCTGAGGAATCTTTGACGTGATGCTGGCAGATATAATAGAAGGCATGTCTGAAGACAGAAGATTGGGAATGAATGATTTGCGACGAAGTCATCTGATGGACGATGATGCCCGAGAATTGAACACGAAGACAACGCTAGGACGGTCCAATCTAGGTACATATTCACAAGAGAATTATCAGAAATATGTATCTAAGTGAATGTTCAATCTCCAAATTCATAATTTGAAAATTCAGCCATGTTTCAAAGCCTAAATTGTTTTAAAAAACTCTAAATCATTTCAGACAACTTTTGGTAATTATAAAATGCACTGTACATGTAATAGCAGTCTTGTTGTATTTATCTGAATTTAAGAGTTGTGCATTTGTTTAAATTTCACCTTATGTTTTATTTCACAGATGAGGTACCTTCTCAAGGGGAGACAACTGCTGCTGCAACAGCTAAACTGTTTCCGATTACTATTATGACAACAAGGAAGAAAGCTGTTTTGAACAACCCACCATTGGGTCAGATAGTGTCAGGGGAGACAACTGCACCAGAAAGTTTTGCCATCAAACCAAACAATGTAGTCGTAGACAAGCGGCCATTGGTACCAAGTGCGAAGAATGCTTCTGCTCAAAGGGAGAACGCTGTTTCAACCAAGCCGCCATCAGTTCCTGTTGTGTCAAGGAAGACAACCGATGCACCAGGAAAGCTCATTCCTAATCTGCCAAGGGAGGAAACAGTTGTCACTGACAAGCAGTCACTGGTAACAAGCAAGGTAAATACTACTGTCCCAAGGGAGGAAACTGGTGTGGAACGACAGCCAAGGGAGACAACTGACACTGCTCCAGAAAGAATACTGGTTGTCAAACCTGGTGAAACAACAGTTGGTATCAACAAAAGACCAAGGGAGACGAGTGCTGTTGCTACAAAAGACCAATCACTGCCTGTTGTATCCGCAGGCGCACCATCATTTGTCCCAAACACAACAAGGGAGAGAACTGCTGCAGCATCAGTTGTCCCAAACACAACAAGGGAGAGAACTGCTGCAGCATCAGTTGTCCCAAACACAACAAGGGAGAGAACTGCTGCAGCATCATTTGTCCCAGTCATAACAAGGGAGAGAACGGCTGCAGCAACGGAAACTCTGTACAGGGAGCTGCTGGAGTGTGAGATCGTGAAGACAAAGATGGAGACCGAGAAGTTGGCGCTCGAGAAGAAGAAGCTGGAGCTGGAAATACAGCTGCTGCAAGCAGACGCCTCTCAAGTTGTCAACATGGCCGACTTGAGCAAATACCAGTAGGAGGTCAAGAAAACAAAACATGCCTTGGGACCACACAGCCATTTCAGGAGCAGAGGCATCAAGTAGCTCAGGCTTCTAGTTGCTGACTTGATTAGGATGGTTGCCATGGTTACATGGGGCTATTTGGTTGTGATATCAACCACTTCTTCAGTTAGACTTCACAGTTGAAAGACTTCTGTTTTTTAGCTAAATCTCCATGATGCAGGGCTCGATTTAAAGAAATAAAACCTACTTGCACCTAGTGCAACCTTAGGTAGAAACTTGGCTGCATCAGACAAAAACAGGTTGCACCTGCTGCTCAATATAAAATCTTGTATAAAATATGATGCTTGAGTTTTGGTGATGATAGTTTAGAACATTGTAACAAAAGAAATCTGGGACTGATAAGATTAGTTATCTTACTTCCTAAAATGTCCTGAACAGTAAGTCCTTCAGTCACTGCTCATACAGTCATCAGAGCCACTCTTCCAAGTCAGTTCCTCAGCTTTCTGTTTTCCAGCTGAAGTTTAAAAAATTGACTTGCACGTGGTGCAAGTTAGATTAATAACTAGGTTGCACTTTGTAATATTGGGTTGAAACAAGTGCAAGTAACAAGCACTAAATCGAGCCCTGTGATGTATTTGTGAATCATGAATCCTTAGTTTATATGTGCGTCAGGGTGATTCAGTTTGGTAGTAGGGCTCCAGATAATTTGTTAACATCAGGTATTTTTTTGTTTTATTGTTTTTCCTACCTGTTTACACGAGTAGCAATGTTGTGGTGCATATATGAAATGAAACAGACGCTTACTGATACTCCATTTAATTCCATTCTGTAATCGAAATGTACTCTTTAAGTTTTCCCAGTACACTTATATTGAAAAAATAAGAGTACTGGGAAAACTTAAAGAGTATGTGCACCACAACATTGCTACTCTTGTGTAAACAGGTAGGAAAATAAATAAAACAAAAAAAGTTCAGTCTGTAAATGATTCATTTCTGTGGTGCGTATCTGCTACGTTTTCTAAATTATTTCCTACCGTATCGTGCATGTATTTTATCCGTACATACGCCCATACGGCCCTTATCTGGAGCCCTGTGGTAGTTTACACAAGTACGATGAATTTGTCTAGATATAATCCCAATGCGACCAAATGGAAGTGAACATTCCAAAAGTAGAATGAAACATGTTTGAAGTCATGTTTGACAGTAATGTTTGACAGTAATGTTATCACTCCGTGACATGACGTTTATTTCTCCGATATCTTGATAACTAGAACCATGACAACAAATTTTTAGTTCCAGTTGAGAAATAGTCACTGATATTTCAGATACAATGTGTATCCATGTGTTAGTATAATCTATCAGTCGTGACAGAAGTAGAGTAGTGACATGAAAGAACAGGATTATTTTCACTACTGAGAAAAGGCAGCTATGGAAATGGTCAACTCAGGAATATATGATAAAGACCACATTTCAAATTATTTTTTTTTATATGCAGTCTTGAATTTTCATAACTTAGGTTTTGAAACTGAATGTCAGAGGAAAACATCTTGGCTGAACAGAGTCAGTACCTCATGTTTTTTTCACGAGAAAAGCCATCATGATCTAAAAAATTACTTAATGATTCTTCATTGTCCCAAGTTCAGTATGTAAGCACTTCTCGTTCTTGTGTTAGTTACACATAAACAACACAAGACACCTTTCACTGGGCCGACTTTTTTTCTGGTGCTATTGTTGAGTCAGGAAATTAAAAAATGAGTGTGATTGAAGTCTAACTGGAAATAGTGAAAATGTTCGTGACATATTATCTCTTCATTGCACCCTTTTGTTTTATTTAGTTTCGGTTGCACAAGTTGAATAATCAAGAAAGGATTTGAAGCATACTCGAGGCCATCATTCCATGTATGTGTTGACATTTTCTGCCACGTCGGCAATAATTCGGCCATATTGTGACTTGTCAAAGTAATGCATTTATCAGACGTGTCCCATTATGAAGAAGTCATGATACAGCGTCCCCCCAAAATAGGTGCTATACAATTTGTATCCTGATGTTGAATCAGTTCATGTTCCCCCACATGTGAATCATAGCCCTGAATCATTTCCTTTACAACATTGTATTGTTGTTGTGTTTCATCACTAGCATGTTTATTTTCTATAACCTTGGGATTATCTATGTGCCTTTGGTAGTGCAGATTATTAGCATTCTCTTCCCACAGAGGTTACTTGTCATTTCTTCCTACGAACCTCTGTTCTAATACGGTCATATTTCCCGGTTCTCGTAAAATCCCCTAGTGGCATAAAATCGCAAAACGAATTATCTCCCTTCTTTCTGTCCAATCAGAACACGTGTTACATCAACTTGGCTAATACAAGCAAATGTTGGGTCACAAATATCCCTCCTCTGCCAGGAACGTGTGTTGATGTGACACACAAGACATTTAATGGCTAGCTTGTCCGTTGTCAACGAGGGCGATGGAGACGCCATTGATCAGCCATTTACATGACTGAGTTTTGTCTAGAAGAAACGTTTGCGCATCGCGCAGGGAAAGAGGTTCTAATTTTCCCGAAGCATACGGAAAAAACCAAGGCCTTGCGAATGATCACTTTTGAAACAACGTCGCTGATTGCACAACTAAATCTGATTGCAACCAATCACGAATCCTGAACACTCGCACCATGAAAGAGCCATATTAGAACAGAGGTTCGTAGGAAGATATGACAAGTAACCTCTGTGGGAAGAGAATGCGTAAAACCATACTCACTAAGATTATTATCATGATTATGATGCTATTCAGTTGTTACAGCCTCATGTTTTGAAGCAATTTTTTCTAATAAAGACTTTTTGACAGGTTTTGAGTTTTACTTAGCTGTTATTGATAACCTGGGAAAGAGGGTTTGTGGTCAGAGTTCTGAAGTAAGTCAACAGGTCACAGACTTGTTACATTCTGTCAGGACGAGGTATTTCCTTGTGACTACTGTTATAACAGGGCTCCAGATAAGATGCGTATCTACGTAAAATATGCATAGATAATTCAGATATAGCCATAAAAAAATTCAGATCAATGAGTGGAGGGTACGCATAACTTGCTCAGAATACGAGTCAGAGTTTGATTACATGAGTGAAGCAGACCTGTCAAAATATTGTTTCAGTCCAACACATCCGATGTTGGTTGTCTGTATTGAAGCGAAATTTTCAAGTTTTCCCGAATGATCTCAGTTAATATGAAGCCCATTTCTGGTGTCCCCCGCTGTGATATTGCTGGAATATTGCTAAAAGCGGCGTAAAACCAAACTCAGTCAGTCAGTCAGGCTCAGTTAATATTTCTAATCCATGTTCGGCTCACGATTTGTTTAAAGTCTAGAGCTGCTAAATGTTATGTGCCTCTATGAAACTAATAAAACCATGCAATCTGTGAAATATTAGGCCTCCTATTATTTCCATTTGGTATTTTACTCCTGAACTTTAATTTTGAGGAGTGAAATACCCCTGAGTCAAATAATTATCTGGAGCCCAGGGCCTAGATTTTCGAAGCTCTCTTAGCGTTAAGATAGTCGTATGTGCCATACATTAGCATTAACTTACGATGATCTTAGTGCTAAGAGAGCTTCGAAAATCTAGGCCCTGGATGTTTGGCAACTGTTTTGTGAAAATAAAACTGAAGACCCCATGGCAGGTGCTTGTTCAGATTCACGTTAGTCTGCTGGCCACAGACAACTAAACCTTGCAGAGGACTAGTAGACATACAAACATGGCAGAGCACATTGACGACTGGCATGGGAGAGCAGTTGTCAGTATCTCTATTTGCTGCAAACGTGTTGACAACAGTGGAGATAGGGCCTGTAAGTCTCATGGGGTGCTACTTCCAGTACTAAGCTGGGGGGGGGGGGCCAGGTGTAACAGGCCAAACTCTCCCCACCCTTGAATCAACTTTAAAGGCTACTTCTTCCCCAACCTTGTTCTTATATCAAAAGGGGAGATTCTGGCCTTGTTAGGCTGTTGTTTTCATGTTTATGTTTGTCTTGAAAAAGTAAGAAATGAAAACAAGACATAGCTATTCACGTGAACACATTGATAAGATATTCATGTTGATGTCAAGTTCCATTAACAATTTACAGGTTATCTTCATCTTCATCTTCATATATAACATGTACATGGTTCACGTTTCGTTTCAATAGCCCTATATAAGGTGAGATTAAAAAGTAAAGCAAGCATAAAGGCAAAGTATCAAAAGTAGGTGGAGTACTTGGGTGTACTTGTATGTCCATATCCAGTCAAAGTTTGTTTCCCTCACATATGACATCCACGTCAGCGACATCAACTTAACTGTTGGAGCAGAGATAAACAACACAATATCTATATAAAATGCTGTCTCATCTCTCATTCCACTATATTGCCTTATTCTACATTCAAAAGACAAGGTTTGATAAGGGTTATACTTCAGAGCTCCAGATAAGATTTAGGTCATGTGGGTACTGTACCCACTAATTATTTGGAGTGGGTATTTCATTTTCCGTTACCAACTGCTTTCAAATATGTGCATATTTCAGTCATTTTACTCAACTAAGTATTACGTCATTGAGTAAGTTTACTAAGCAGGTATGTTCTGCCTTATGTCATACCTAATCAAAACCAACTTAAATATAATGGAAATGATTTCATAAAAAATCACTCATCCTATACTATCAGTACAACTTGATAGTAATCAATGTCTTTTTCATTACGCAAGCAATTTTTATAAATATATTCCGTACGCATTTGTTTTAAACTTTTTTGCGTATCTAAATGCGTAATTGGTACGCAACAATTATTTTTCAATGCGTAATTGGAAATTTTCTATGCGTATTTTACCCAGATACGCAGCTTATCTGGGCCTCTGATACTTTGCTCATGGATATCTGAAACATATTTTACCAAAAGTGATTATGGATTAGTAAACAAGCTTCTTTATTGTCATCCATAAACAAACTCTGGTCTTTATGTGTATCGCTTCAAAGACCCCATAGATACAACAAACAATACAGAATAAATAGCATGATAAGAGAGCAAGCAACCTGTGTATATTACATTTTATTTACCCATCAAATGTGCGATTGAATTTTTACATCTTATGGTGACCTAATTTGGACAGATGAAGAACTAATGCAATGTGTCTTCATCTAAGGAATGGCGGAAGGAGCAGGATGGATTTAGAGAAATAAGCCGTTCAAACGTGTATGCATTCAAATCACTACACTCAAGTCGGAGGCAAGAATGGACTAATTGGCAATTTTTTTTATCAAATTCAAGTCAAAATAATGTCGGTTTGATGTTTGTAATAACTTGTTCTCCTCGTTTGATATAAGAGCAAGGGTGAGGAAGAAGTAGCCTAGCTAGGCCAGAATCTCCCCCTTTTGATATAAGAGCAAGGGTGGGGAAGAAGTAGCCTAGCTAGGCCAGAATCTCCCCCTTTTGATATAAGAGCAAGGGTGGGGAAGAAGTAGCCTAGCTAGGCCAGAATCTCCCCCTTTTGATATAAGAGCAAGGGTGGGGAAGAAGTAGCCTAGCTAGGCCAGAATCTGCCACCTTTTCATACAAAACAGAACAAAATATACTTGTTTAAACGGGGGGAAACTTTGGCCCAGGTGGGAAACTTTTGCCTAGCCCAAACTTTACCCGGGGTAGGAATATCCTAGGACAAAACCTCCCTGGGGAAAGTCCTGGGAGACTTTAGACCGGGGAACAAATGGCCTGCTACACTGGCTCCCTTTGCGTGCGCCAACTTGCGATATGCGAGTCGGGGCCCAGCTTACTACCGATGCCAGATTTCCGGTGACAACATATTTTGCTGGTTCCAACTTAGGCGACCGCCAAATATGCCTCGACGAGACTGGACCAAGTGTCCAGCTTGGCTGTCGCAGCTCTTGACAGTCAAAATTATGGGATGGTTAGATCAGAAATTTGTTATTCCTGCTTGCATTATCGGTTCCTCACTGTTAACTGACAACCATGTGACCATTTGAAAAGTATCCAACATTGTTTTGTCACCAGAAGTACTAAGGTTACGCGACGTACTGTGACCTTCTTACAGACACTAATAGCAACAACTGGAGGAAGCCAACTGTACGTAAGGTGGTGGCAGACCTTCAGTGCTGATAATAAATTTGCTACGATAGCTGGAGTGGTGTGTTTAATCAAGTCATTGTGGGGAGATTGGATGAGGTGCCTGTGGTCTTCGTTGAGACCTTTTTGGCAGTTTGGATCTGTTTCTGACAGAAATCATTTTTGATGAAGATCACCTATGAAGGTCCGGGTTAGAATATTGATCTTCAGTAACCCATACTTTTCTCGTAAGAGGCAACTAATGGGATCGGGTGGTCAGGCTCGCTGACTGGGTTGACACATGTCATCGTATCCCAATTGCGTAGATCGATGCTCATGCTGTTGATCCCTGGATTGTCTGGTCCAGACCTGATTATTTACAAACCGCCGCCATATAGCTGCAATATTGCTAGAACTAAACTCACTCACACAATCAAGAAGGAATACATTTTACCTCTCACAGGTAAGTGTTTCTGCAATGGACAGGCAGCTGCTTTTGAATCACTGCAACAATGAGTGAGTGAGTTCTTTTTATGCCGCACTCAGCGATGTTCCAGGTATATGGCGGTGGTCTGTAAATAACCGAGTCGGGTTCGGACAATCTAGTGATCAGCAGCATGAGCATCGATCTACGCAATTGAGATATGGGGACAAGTTTAAGTTGTTCAACCAAGTCAGCGAGCATGACCACTCAGTTGGAATATTGCTAAAAGAGGAATGAAACTACACTCACTCACTCATGAAGACCAGTTGTAACCCGGATCTTCGTGGGTTCTCTGCGGTAGTGTTGAATGTGATGTGAAACTCACAGATTGTTTGGGGGCGTAGGGGTAGCCTAGTGGTTAAAGCGTTTGCTCGTCGCGGCCAGGGGCCCTGTCCGAATGCCAACATGGGTACACTGTGTGAAGCCCATTTCTGTTGTCCCCTGCCGTAATGTTGCTGGAATATTGCTAAAAGCGGCTTAAAACCAAACTCAGTGAGTCAGTGTTTGAACAGAGCTCTTGACAGGTGATGTATATGTGACAGGTGATGTATATGCGACAGGTGATGTATATGCGACAGGTGATGTATATGCGACAGGTGATGTATATGCTCTGCCCCTTCTCTCTTACAAGTGGCTGTTTCCCGGGGTGTTTTACAATTTGTACTTTTTGTATTTGAATTCGCGAATTTATGTGAATGTTTGTTTAATTGCAGTGGGTCGACCGTCCCTGGGTGGGAAGAAAAAGGCCGAGGAGAAGCCTGCTGTGTCTAGTGACAGCATCAGCTCTGATAGTGATAGGTACGTGAGCTATTTATCTAACACCTCCATACATGCTCTCAGACGTGGCACGGGGAACTGACCAGGAGTCGCAATCTAAGGTGTCCTCCTGAAGGGTAGGGAGACGTATTGTTTTTGGTTGAGTTTCCGTCGGCCTTTCCGGAACATAACTCTAAAACTGCAGGGATAGAAATACTATTTTTTCTAAGTGTGCCTTAGGGCACCAGACAAATATTTTAGGTGTGCCTTTCAGAAATTGAGTATGCCCACATGTTTTTAGAATAAATGACAATGATGATGATCATTTGAAATTTATTGTTAAATAAAGAAATGGGTTTATGAGCATTCAAATATGTATGGTATTATTTAATTTTGAGAAAAATAATTGTTTGGGGGATTAATTGACTAAATGTGAGTTATGTCTCTAAAAAGATAAGGCGTGTCGAAAGGGCACCGAGAACATCTTTCATCCGTGCCATTTCAATATTTACCGTGCCATGGCACACTAATATATGGGGTATTTCGAACCCTGAACTGCTTGAACAATCTTCACCAAATTTGGTATACTGCCTCTCCACATCATGTAGATGTGAGTTTTGGAGGTTTTAACTTTTCTTTCAAATTTATTTTTCTGTTTCAATGACAACAAATTTGAACTAATTTATTTGAAGGGTAGTAAAATTGAAGGAATCAAATGAATTGTTTGAGGTCTCAATGTTGAATTGGGGGAAGGGGGAGACATATGTTTTTACGAGTAAATACACTTTCTAGTTTGGTCCTGCATTGTATTAAGAAATGCTGCTGCAGGTTTTCATTGTTTTTGTTCTTCATTGCGTTTACAATAAGCACAGCTCTATATATACAGAGCTCCAGATAAAATTTAGCTCATGTGGGTACTGTACCCACTGTATTTTTTTGGAGTGGGTATTATGAATGTTGAGTGGGTATTTCATTTTCCGTTACCCACTGCTTTCAAATATGTGCGTATTTCAGTCATTTTACTCACCTAAGTATTATGTCATTGAGTAAGTTTACTAAGCAGGTATGTTCTGCCTTATGTCATACCTAATCAAAACCAAGTCGAATATTATGGAAATGATTTCATAAAAGAATCACTCATCCTATACTGACAGTACAACACTAGTCCTATACTAACAGTACAACTTGATAGCAATCGATGTCTTTTTCATTACGCAAGCGATGTTTGTAAATATCTTCTGTACGCATTTGTTTTGAACTTTTTGCGTATCTAACATTTTAAATGCGTAATTGGTACGCAACAATTATTTTTCAGTGCGTAAATGGAAATTTTCCATGCGTATTTTACCCGGATATGTAGTTTATCTGGACCTCTGTATATGTGTTTGTTTTCACAGTGAATCCAACGATGATGGTGTGAGCAGTTGGAAGAAGAGAGACGAGGAGAGGAAGAAGGAGATCGAGAAACGTATCAAGCAGGAAGAGGAGAAGTAAGAATGCTTTCAGATTGGGTTATCCTGTTTCTCAAAATGGATCCGAGACAAACCTGTGTGTTTGCTTGTCTGTTGTTAAATACTGCACTCAGCAATATTCCAGCTATATGGCGGTGGTCTGTAAATAATCAGGCCCCGATTCCTTGAAACAAACTTAAGTCTGAGTTTTGACTTAAGTTAGAGTTTTTACTCAAATTTGAGAAAATGCATTTCCAAGAATGAACTGAATTCGATATTTAACTCAAACATAGTAGACAATTTGAGTTTGGTGGATAGATTACTGAAGTTGTTTGGGATTTTTTGTTTATAAAATGCATTTGAGTTAAAAATTCAGCTGTTTCAAATTGTCAAACTCAGTTTGAAATTTGAGTAAAAACTTCAGTTTGTTTCGAGAAATCGGGGCCGGGTCTGGACCAGACAATCCAGTGATCAACAGCATGAACAACGATCTACACAGTTGGGGTACGATGACATGTGTCAACCAAGTCAGCGTGCCTGACCACCCAATCCTGTTAGTTGCCTCTTTCGACAAACTGGGTTGCTGAAAATCTATTCTTACTCCGATCTTCATGGGTGTAAACATGTAAGTGTGTCGCAGTGTGTTACAAGGAGGTCTGTGTCGCAGTGTGTTACAAGGCGGTCTGTGTGGCAGTGTGTTACAAGGCGGTCTGTGTGGCAGTGTGTTACAAGGCGGTCTGTGTGGCAGTGTGTTACAAGGCGGTCTGTGTGGCAGTGTGTTACAAGGCGGTCTGTGTGGCAGTGTGTTACAAGGCGGTCTGTGTGGCAGTGTGTTACAAGGCCGTCTGTGTGGCTGTTTGTTGTGTGGCAGTGTGTTGTGTGGCAGTGTGTTACAAGGCGGTCTGTGTGTCTGCTGTGTGGCAGTGTTACAAGGCGGTCTGTGTGGCAGTGTGTTGTTACAAGGTCTGTCTGTGTGGCAGTGTGTTACAAAGGCGGTCTGTGTGGCAGTGTGTTACAAACGGTCTGTGTGGCAGTGTGTCTGTGTGGCAGTGTGTTACAAAGGCGGTCTGTGTGGCAGTGTATTACAGTGGTACAAAGGCGGTCTGTGTGGCAGTGTGTTACAAGGCGTCTGTGTGGCAGTGTGTTACAAGGCGGTCTGTGTGGCAGTGTGTTACAAAGCGCAGTGTGTTACAAGTTATCAGGCGGTCTGTGTGGCAGTGTGTTACAAGGCAGTCTGTGCAGCAGTGTGTTACAAGGTCGGTCTGTGTGGCTGTTTGCAGTGTGTTACAAGTGGCAGTCTGTGTTGCAGTGTGTTACAAGGTCTGTGTGGCTGTTTGTTGTGTGGCAGTGTGTTACAAGCGGTCTGTGTGGCAGTGTGTGGCAGTGTGGCTGTTTGTTGTGTGGCAGTGTGTTGTGTGGCAGTGTGTTACAAGGCGGTCTGTGTGGCAGTGTGTTGTGTTGTGTGTGTTACAAGGCGTCTGTGTGGCAGTGTGTTACAAGGCGGTCTGTGTGGCAGTGTGTTACAAAGGCGGTCTGTGTGGCAGTGTGTGTGTGTGCTGTGGCAGTGTCTTACAAAGGCGGTCTGTGTAGTGTGTTAGAAGGCGGTCTGTGTGGCAGTGTGTTAGAAGGCGGTCTGTGTGGCAGTGTGTTACAAGGCGGTCTGTGTGGCAGTGTGTTACAAGGCGGTCTGTGTGGCAGTGTGTTAGCAAGGCGGTCTGTGTGGCAGTGTGTTAGAAGGCGGTCTGTGTGGCAGTGTGTTACAAGGCGGTCTGTGTGGCAGTGTGTTACAAGGTCGTCTGTGTGGCAGTGTGTTGTGTGGCAGTGTCTTACAAGGCGGACTGTGTGGCAGTGTGTTACAAGGTGGTCTGTGTGGCAGTGTGTTACAAGGCGGTCTGTGTGGCAGTGTGTTATCAGGCGGTCTGTGTGGCAGTGTGTTACAAGGCGGTCTGTGTGGCAGTGTGTTACAAGGCGGTCTGTGTGGCAGTGTGTTACAAGCGGTCTGTGTCGCAGTGTTACAAGGCGGTCTGTGTGGCAGTGTGTTACAAGGCGGTCTGTGTCGCAGTGTTACAAGGTCGTCTGTGTTGCAGGCGACTGATGGCGGAGGAGGAGCGTATCCGAATCGCGTCGGAGGAGTTGCAGAAGGAGAAGGAGGCACGTCGCGAGGAAGGAGAAGACGAAGATGACCGCGACACACACAAGAGGCATCGCAAGAAGAAGAAATTCGAGGACTTTGTGGTGAGAGAATTAAGGTCAAATTGTGAGAATTATCAAGTTCCACTGAACAATCAGATAAAAGCTAGGTCTTGCGGCATTGGAAGTAACAGAAACAATTGCAATTAATCTGGATGTAGGATCTTGGATAAACTGCAATCTTGTCACATTTCAAATATATGGTCACAGTGATGACAATTATAATCCCAGCTCGCTTGGAGTCTAAGGACGTTGAAGAGAGAAAACTCTGAGTGACCTTAACCGTGAACCTGTACTTTAAATTTGAACAAAGCGCTTTTAGTTCAAGTCTATTTTGTTCTTATGTTAGTCCAATATTAGACAGTTAAGATTGATGCTGTTAAGTTCTTGTCTGGAAACAAGATCTGTAACCCCAACCCAGTCAGGTCGCACTGTCATCCATGGACAGAAGCAAGAAGAACAGTCAAAGATCTGGCAATCAAAATCCCAGCTTTCTCAGATTCCATACTCACTCACTCCACTCACATGGGCACAATGTGTGAAGCCCATTTCTAGTGTCCCCTGCCGTTATAGTGCTGGAATATTGCTAAAGTGGCGTAAAACTTCACTCACTCACTCATTCAAATAGAAAGAACCTGTTTGTTTTCAAGTCTGCATGTCAAATTATCAAATATATGGTCACAGTGATGACAGTTATAATCCCAGCTCGCTTGGAGTCTAAGGACGTTGAAGAGTGAAAACTCTGAGTGACCTAAACATGTGAAAGTATTATTCCAGACCAAATTGTTAAATCTGTCAGAGGTCAGGCTTGAAAACGTGGTGATCACTTGAATTTTGTTGTTTAATGCCACACTCAGCAATATTCCAGGTATATGATATGATAATAGCCTGTAAATAATCACTCGTCTGTTTGTTGGCCACTGTTGAGTGACCCAACCTTCAGTATTGTTAAAATTTCGCAGGAAGAAAATAAGATTGTAAATTGTAAGCTGACACAGTTTGAGTTTTGCATCTATTGCGTTTGAAGTGTTGTCTATAATCCTTAGGGGGGCGGTGGGGTAGCCTAGTGGTCAAAGCATTGGCTCGTCACGCCGAAGACCCGGGTTCGATTCCCCACATGGGCACAATGTGTGAAGCCCATTTCTGGTGTCCCCGCCGTGATGTTGCTGGAATATTGCTAAAAGCGGCGTAAAGCCAAACTCAGTCAGTATAATCCTTAGACATTAAATTTTTGATCATATCGCAATTGTGAAAACGGAAGCAGATGAGTTAAAAGTCCGACATTTTCACAGATAAAACAATTGTTTAGAACTGTTGTACAAGCAGCAACTGAACTAAAAGTGTGACATAAATATGTTTAGATGATTAGATATATGTTCAGAAGTTGTTAAATTCAGATAGGATTTAGAAAATAATTATCTGGTTGGGTGGATAGAGAAGCATCTAACGACTTCTCAGGTATATAACAACTCAATTCAATGCACCATCAAATAACTATGGATCAAGCTGTTTTGAATTACTATAGTACTTCGCTTGATCTTGCTCAGGGGCGGTGGGGTAGCATAGTGGCTAAACCGTTCACTCGTCGCACTGAAGACCAAGGTTCGATTGCCCAAATGGGTACAATGTGTGAAGCCTATTTTTGGTGACACCTGCCGTGATATTGCTGGAATATTGCTAAATATAACGGCGTAAAGCCATACTCACTCACTCGCTCCAGTGAACTCTTTCAGGTTTAGTCACCAGGTTAGCAGATAAAAATTCTTGAAGTCAAATGGAATCATTATCTTAAATAACATGCACGAACATGGCAGTCAATAAGGATGACCATTATACCCCTTGAGTAAAATCACTTGATTTTCTCAATGACAGCTTCAGCTTTGTCTGAATTGACTTGACAAGTTCATAAATATTTTTTTTAAAAAGGGTTTTGCTTGTAGACTCTTCAGCTACATAAGCTGGGAATGGGGTGGGTTTGTCTGTCATTAGGACGTTTGTAATTATTGCTTCAAAATAAACAATTTACGTTTATAATATAAAATTAACGACACATTTATTTTCTAAGTGAATTTCTAAGCAACACAGTAGGCATTCTGTACATCACATATACTCATTTACATCAGACACTTATTTTAAAAAATACAATGTTTATAATGTATAGATTGTTGCAAAAGCAACAACTGAACACAATTGTGAAAATATACTCATGGAAACAAATAAGGGAACACATGAAAGTACAAGTGTGCCTTAATTATTAATTTCCAGAATTTCACCCACAATGCAATACCAAGCTTGTGAAGAAACCTGGAAAAGAATAAAGGAACACTTGTACTTTCAGGTGTTCTCTTATTTGTTCCATGAGTATATATGAATTTAAACATGAATTTGTGTAGATTTGTCTCTTTTATTTATTAGAAATCTTTGGACATACCTAATGTTCAATTATAATTTTTTCCTGTTTTAATGTAATTTCATTTTTGGACCTCAATTCATCCGGCATGTCAAATAAATTCAGCAGTGTGAGCGGGAATACTTTCTTCTTTAGTCACGATATGGCTGAAATATTGCCGATGTGACTTTAAATCTTAACTCACTCACTCACTCACTCTTCTGTTTCAACAACAGGACGCTGACGATGAAAAAGAAAGAAAACGGAAACGGAAAGAGAGTTTAGACCGATCAAAGCATAAAGACGATGATGACGAGGATGATTCAGATGTGGAAAAGGAAAAAGTGGAAAAAGAAAAAGTGAAAAAGAACAAAAAGACCGATAAAAGTGAAGAAAAAGAAAAAAGTGTTAAGAAATCACGGAAACACAAAGACTCCACGAAAGATGATTCAGTTCTGGAAGAAAATGAGGAATCAAAAGACAAAAGTGAGAAAAAAGAGAAAGTAAAAGAAAAGGACTCGAAAAAGAAGGAAGAAAAATTAAATGAAAAATCTAAAGATAAAGACGGTGAGAAAAAGTCTGAGCCGAAGTCAGAGAAGAAGGGTAAGAAGGTGAAAGTGTTGAGTAGTGACGAGTCGGATGGCGAGGAAGTGGAGAGGAAGAAGGAGGAGGGGGAGGAGAACGAGGAAGAGGGTGCTGCGGTGAAGGACGAAGGTGTCGGAGGGAAAGAGGAGAAGATGGAGGAAGAAGAGGAACAGGAGAAGGTGAGTTAATGATTCGTTTTGTAACAGAAATGTTAAGTCTACTGAGCGTTACATGTTGATACCAAAGTTGAAACTTAATTGTTTACTGGGAGTCTGTTTGACACAACAAACAACAAAACTATGAGCTGTAATTAACAGTTGTGTTGTAAAACTAAGTTCGCAAATCAATACCAACGGATAGAAATGCTATGTTTAGGTAAGGGAGCCATAGATCACCAGACAATTTAGGAGTGCCTTTGTGAACATAAGTATGCCCTTACCTTTTGATGATCCAATGAAACATAAAATATCACAACAATTGTGTGATTTCAATTTATTGTTCAATAGGTCAGTAGATATCTCAGTTAGGTCAGTATGTAACCTATGAAGTTGCGAACTGGATTTGTCAAGACTGTAAGAATTGTTCAGCTTCATTTGTCCTGGACCCATAAACTAACCCAGAATCTGTTTTATTATTTTAGTTGTGCCACCAGGGCACATTTAGAATATTTCATCCATGCTATTTCAATTTCTGCTCTGCCATGACACGCAAATTAAGAACTATTTTGATGTAGCAAATGTTATATGGGATTACACTTTTTCAGTGTACAGGTTCTAGTACTTTTGTTTGGTTAAGTCAATCCGGGATTCGTACCCACACCTTCAGAGTCAGGCACCTAATTGTGTGTGGAAGCTGTGGTGGCTGAGTGGGTTAGACGGCTAACTTTGTGTGCTGGCAATTAAGTGCCTGACTCTGAGGGTGTGGGTTCAAATCCCGGATGGGACTCAACCCAACAAAAGTACAAGAATCTGAACTTTACTCAGAAAGTGTAATCCCAAATATAACACGTTTCGTTTACCACTTTGTAAAAGGTATTGTGTATTCACTATTTCGATCCCGGACAAATCAGTCCATAGTACACCACAGCAATGGAAATGGTTTCAGTCTCAACCGCTTCCTGGTCCACACTAATAATTTGTACCTGTAAGTGATGAAAATGGTCACAGTGATGACAATTATAATCCCAGCTCGCTTCGAGTCTAAGGACGTTGAAGAGAGAAAACTCTGAGTGACCTTTAACTGAGTTAAAGCTTATGTCGTCAGTTTCTGGAATGTTCTACCATGATGTTGCTGGAATATTGCTGAAAGCAGCGTAAAACTGTTCTTACTCATTTCATGAAATAGTGTTCTGTCTTCTTCAGTTGTTTGAACAAACATAACAATACGAAACACATGTACTTTCTAAAGTATAATTTGATGTTTCTTTTTTATGAATATTGATTAGTGTCCATGTCCATCGATAAAGTGCTGACGCAGTGCGATCCTACGATTGACCTGTTATTCAGAAAGCAACCATCTGTCAAAACATTCATCCAGACGAAGTAGTGGACTTGGTGGTCCGATGAGTTGAATTTGATTGGTTGCAGTGACTAAACAACCAAGCTGTCAATCATGTTTTCTCGTAACTAAACACAAACAATTCTGGAACACTTATTTGCATTAGCAATATTTTTCACAAGGTTGGTTTTGTCTCTCAGTAAATTTACATTTCATAAGCACTACGAGCTCGTTCCAAGTCATAATCAAATCAAGGAAATTTATGTTCCTAACATACTAGTCCTCCTTAAAAATTATGAAATTTGCACATGCATTTCGTGCAATTATTTTTTAAAAACCCAAAGAGCTCCATGTTTTTCCTTTATTTTTTGTGTGCATTAACAAACATACCAGGAAAATTTGGTAAATGACACTAACCAATTATTTTCGATGATTGATTGGTTGTAATGAAGCAATCATTAATTATGAGATTTCAACCAAATCCAACACTAACTTGAAGTATTTTAGATTGAAGTTGGCCATGAATATCCGTCGACTGTCAGTAATAGCGATAACATTGTTGATAACATGATGCAGCCAATATTTGGATGGTGCAAACTGGTTAATAGACTTGGTTGTAGCTGCTGGTGGTTGTAGCTGCTGGTGGTTGTAGCTGTTGCTGCTGGTTGTAGCTCCTGCTGGTTGTAGCTGCAGCTGCTGGTTGTAGCTGCTGCTGGTTGTAGCTGCTGCTGCTGGTTGTAGCTGCTGCTGGTTGTAGCTGCTGCGGGTTGTAAAACACAATGAAACCATGCTAAAACAACCCAGAAATCGTACACTGTGTAGTTTTGACAGAAAAAAGGACCAGATCTTAAAAGTTACATTGTACTAAATGGTCACAGTGATGACAGTTATAATCCCAGCTCGCTTAGAGTCTAAGGACGTTGAAGAGAGAAAACTCTGAGTGACCTAAACTATGTGATACCTAATCTAGTCTGAGAGCTTCGAAGTAGGAAGGGGTTGACATTCCAGGTTAGTCATACACCTGTCTGTAGAACTTCCTGAACCTCTCAAGAGTTTGGGGGACATGGCTTTTTGTTGATTGTTGCTGGGCTACAGATAAGGGGAGTACAGGCGTAATGTACGCCTTAAAATCAATTAAGTACGGCATAATATAAGATTTCAAGCGTATCTGGTAAGCACATAAATACCTTTGTATGTCTAACATCTAATTTCCGTTCTTATCGTGCAAATGGAAATCTATTTCAGGTAAATACTTGTTGTTAAGTTTCTTTTGCGAAACACGATTTGACACATAAGGAAAACCCGACAGCAGGAATCCCTTGCGTTGCCATGCAACGATATGCGTCACTATTTTTTCTATTGGCTAAAAACTACACTGTTTCTATTTATATCCATGCGGACCTGACATTTCGCGCATCACACAGTCGCTCAGTTATTTCTAACGCATCTTCAAATACAAACACATGGTTGGAAATAGTGATCGATGAATCGTCCAGACAAACCACATCGACTCGCTCACACAAAAACATGTCAGTACTCCTTCAAAATTCTCAGTACACGTCCACTTGCAATATGATGTGTAAGTACACTCACACACCCAAAAGTTACCTGGAGCCCTGTTGTTGGTTCAAGTACAAAGTATACTACACTCAGTTTGTTCTGACGGATGTCTGTGTCTGACGGATGTGATCGGCTGCAACGATTTGGTTCGATTCATCCAAAATCGAAACTGACACCTTAGTTCCAATTTTCGGTAACCATTATCACTATTTCGATTCGACATTTGAATATTTGAGTCTTAACTTGCACAAGGTGCAAGTAAATTTTTGAGAATAAATCAACAATAAATCTAACAGTATAAGCATAAATATGTCAGCTCATGTTTCTTCTAAACTTTGAATAGCTATGGCACTGAAATATTGCTATTCATATGTATACACGTTTCAGCTATGACAGCTCTGTGCCTCTGTGTTGCTATGGTTTCATAGGTACTATGTCACGGAAATATGTTTATGTGCACCAAAACCTCTGACGTTTCAACACACTACGCTGCAACTGGAATTTGGCTGGTGCAACTAGGTTTTTATCTTAGGTTGCACCTGGTGCAAGAAGATTAACCTCTCTTAAACCAAGCCCTGCTCCAATGAGAGCAGTTTCGAGCGCTGAAAAAAGGTGAAACGTGCTTGCTTGACACCGGGCTAATTATCCAGAATTGTTGTTAGTAGACAATGCCAAGTTGACGATGGATTTCACACTGAAAAAGCAGTGTCTGAGAGTTGAATTAAATCTGATGTTTTTACATATATGAAGAATCGAATAAAACATGATGGAATTGAGGGTCCAATATTGAAATTGAATCGATTTCTGGGTGAATTGTTGCAGCCCAAGTGTCAAGAGTACAGTGTTTAATTTTACTGCCATATGCCGGTATTTTAACTGTAAAATGTCAAAGGACCAGTATGTTTATGGCAAACAAGTCCTGGGACCGGCAATAAATTTACCTGGTGAAATTATTTCCACCAAATAGGCAGTGAAAAATACCAGCTACCTCATTAGGATGAGAAAGCCACAATAACTTGGTGGGCCAAGTGGCTGGAAGAGTTGTATACTCCTCAGGGAGTTGAGATTGATAAAACGATGTGATGTTGAGATTGACATACAATGATTGAGGGAAAAAATACCAGTGCTTTGAGCCTGCATTAGTTGCCTGGATATGTGTGCTATGTGAATATCTTATTTAAAAAATTTGTTTAAAAGACAACATAAGATTTTTAAGGATACTGCATAGTAAATTTGATCAATCTGCACCATATGCAATATGTGTATTGAATTCCTTGTCTGTTTTTAGTAACAATTCTCGCCTGTCTTATTAGGTTCTAAATAAAAAATCATCAACTTCAGATTCCTGCAAAACAATCCATGAAACACAACAAAAAATCCAGAAAATTAAATTCAATAATGAGTGGAAAGAGGAATTTCCATGGTGGCGTTGTGACGATCATAAACAATCGGGGGTTGTGGTTTGGTGAATTGAGTGAGGCTGTGACTGAAAAGGGCTTTACAAAAGGTTGTATCACAACATGGAGAAGAAGTGGACTGGTAAAAATATGGGACCAGTTTATTTGAAAATCACCGGAAACACTGTTAGTGGTAGACACCAACTGGCCATGACAACTTTCAGCTGTCAAAAACATGGGACGTAATGATGTGATATTAATACCAGTAAACACGCATACATCCGACCCAATTTCTCGTAACCATGAACTCATGTCTGTATGTTGCTGTATGATCACTGAGTACATTCATCTTATGCGTGATATTGAACCCTTTCTTTGTTTCTCTAAGGAGGAAGCCGTGGATGAGAAACCGGACAACCAACCCAAGGAATCGAAGAAAAAAGAAGCAAAGAAACCGAAGGTGAGAATGTCTCCAGAGAGATCAGGGTCTCTAACTGTATCTAGGTGAGAATTCATAACAGATGCTTGTTGTCAGAGGCGACTAAAAGGGATCGGTGGTCAGGCTTCCTAACTTGGATGACACATGTCATTGTATCCCAGTTGCGTATATCGATGCTGACACTGTTGATCACTGGTTGATGATCATACAGAGGTGCCAACCCACACGATTTTATTGTATTCGTTAAGAAAAAACAACGCAAAATACGTGACTACGCTAGTAGTAAAAATATACGATATTTTTAAAAAATACATTAAAAAATTATTAAAAAGCATACGTACCATGCATAATAAATTTCGATCACACTATATTCAGTATCAAGCTATATGTGGATACTTATCACTGATTTAGTTGAGTATAACGTTAATAACAAGGTCTTAGACTATATATTTAATTTTTTTATTTAATATTAATTTTTTGGGAAAAGTTCATACTAATTTTGGCCAATAAATACTAATTTTTGAATCAGTTTTTTGGCCAAAATACTAGACTGATGCCAATGATATGAGTCACTGGATTGTCTTGTCCTGATAGGATTATTTATGGACTGCTCATGTATTGCTGAAATATTGCTGAGAGGCAGTCAGCATTCATTCCTGTAAAACTCTAATTGTAGCTGTGAAGCCCATTTCTGGTGAGACCGTCTGCGTGGTGTAGTAGTTAGAGCGTCCGCCTGGAGAGCGGAAGGTCGCAGGTTCGATCCCCGACCGCGTCATACCAAAAGACGTTAAAATATGGTACTTGTTGGCCCCTGCCTGGCGCTCGGCTTTAATGGGTACAACAAGGACTGGTCGTCTAGGAGTCAGTATAATGTGTCTGGGTGGGGTATTCATGCTTCGCTGCGGCGTGGTATCTCAGTGGGCTAGGGCTAGTACAAGCAGCCGCACATACACATTCACATACACACGCATGCACGTTGTGATATGAGCGAAATATTCTCAAGCACGACGTAAAACCCAATTTCACCTCGCCCATTTCTGGTGTCCCCTGCCGTGATTTTGCTGCAATATTGCTAAAAGCGGCGTAAAACTAAACTCACTCTCTATTTGTAGCAGGGGTGGTGGGGTTGCCTAGTGGTTAAAATGTTAGCCCGTTAGACCCTGGTTCGATTCCTCACATGGGTACATTGTGTGAAGCTCATTTCTGGTGTCTTCAGTCGTGATACTGCCGGAATATTGCTAAAAGGCCGTAAAGCCAAACACTAATTGTAGCTAATTGTACCTGAAGAAAAATGTCCTTTTCAGTGATATAAGGAACTCAACAACGTTATTCACAAGTTCACTTGTAGTTGAAGTGTTCACTCATCACACTAGAGACCTAGCTTCAATTCCCCACATGGGTACAATGTGTGAAGCTCTTTTCTGGTGTTGCCTGCCGGGTATTGCTGGAATTTTGCTAAAAGAGGTGTACAACCATTCTCACTACATTCACAATGCCAGCAGACCTCACTCACTCACTCACTCACTCACTCACTCACTCTCACTACATTCACTCACTCACTCTCACTACATTCACTCACTCTCACTACATTCACTCTCACTACATTCACTCACTCTCACTACATTCACAATGCCAGACCTTGCTCGCTCATTCACTCTTACTCACTCACTCACTCACTCACTCACTCACTCACTCTCACTACATTCACAGCAGACCTCGCTCGCTCACTCACTCACTCACTACATTCACAGTGCCAGCAGACCTCACTCACTCACTCACTCACTCACTCACTGTTGTAGGAACCAAAGTCAAAGAAGGAGGAGACACTAAAGGCAGAAGTTTCAGAGAAGGAAGATGATGAAAAGAGGAGAAAACAGGATAAAGAACGAAGACAGTGAGTAGCTCAATTGAAGTGACATGAAATTTCACATGGCCTCTGGAATTCCAACAGTTCATTGATGCGTGATGTGTGATGTTAGAATGTTAGTAGCATGGCGGTCAACAGGGATGACGATTATTCCCCTTGAGTTAAATCTTCGTATTTCTCAGTGAAAGCTTCAGCTTTGTCTGAGTTGACCGGCCATGTTGTAAAATGATGAAAGCAATGAGCTGTCAGGATAGTGTTCATCAAAATGTATACTTTTGAAATAAAGATTTCATGAGCAGATTTCCAAGGCAATAAAAAAATTCCCAAAGATTGACACACTATTTGCTTTCAATTTGTCAGTGTTAAGTTTCCCATGACTCAGATGATCTAAGGGGTGTTCGGGTAGCCTAGTGAAGACCTGGGTTTGATTCCCACATGGGTATAATTTGTAAAGCCTATTTCTGCTGTCCCTGGCTGTGATCTTAGTGGAATACTGCTAAATGCTTCACATACCATACATCGTATTTTATATTGTATTGTCCTTTGAAAGCTGAATCGTTTTCATGGTCTAATAATCTGAAACAAATGGATGAATGAGAAACATCTGGTTCTGTCTGCAGCCATGATAAGGAAGAAGAGAAGGAGAGAAAGAAACGAATAAAGTACGAACAGAAGAAGAAAGAAAAAATACATTGTGAGTACCAGTACTTGTTAATAATAAAATAATAACAATAAAGAAACATCCTCTATCAGATTAGATTTGTAATGTCTCAGCATATGGACCCGTGAAGATCTGGCTTAGAATTGATCTTCAGTAACCCACGCTTTACGTAAGAGGCGACTAACAGGATCGGGTGGTCAGGCTCACTGACTTGGTCGACACATATCATCTTATACCAATTGCGTAGATCGATGCTCATGCTGTTGATCACTAGATTGTTTGGTCCAGTCCCGATTATTTACAGACCGCTGCCATATAGCTGTAATATTGCTGAATGCGGCATAAAACTGAACTCACTCACTCACTCAGCATATGGCGGTCAACGAGGATGACGATTATTCCCCTTGAGTTAAATCTTTGGTTTTCTCAGTGAAAGCTTCAGCTTTGTCTGAGTTGACCGGCCATGGCAGAAACTTAAACATTTTTAGTGGCTCCCTCACGAGAAAAATACACAATATTTTTAAACAACTTGTATTTGATGGGGTTGAGTTAGATAGTGTTGGACTCTGTTGTCATATAAGAGCTTACCGGTGACGATCCAGGTTAGAATTGATCTTCAGTTACCCATGCTTGTCCTAAGAGGACCCGTGAAGGTCCGGGATAGAATTGATCTTCAGTTACCCATGCTTGTCCTAAGAGGACCCGTGAAGATCCGGGTTAGAATTGATCTTCAGTTACCCATGCTTGTCCTAAGAGACGTAATGAGCCTCAGTTTACTTAGACTAAGAATCTAGCTAATGGAGAATGCAGGTTAGAATTGTCAATCACTGGATTGTCTAATCCAGACTGGATTATCTAACTGGGACAAAGACGAGTCAGTGAGTGTTGTGTCTTATAGAGATCAGATGATCAGAATTGATTAACCCATAGAAACATTTGAATATTTTAAGATTAGAATTTAGGTAGTTTTCTGTTTTCCACACATGACTCTTATGGGGGAAAATGAGCACTTAAGGAACCATATTTGTAAATTGTCTAGTTTTAATGTTAATGGTTGTAAGTGTGAAATGTCAACAAGGATGACAATTATTCCCCTTGAGTGAAACCTTTGGTGTTCTCGGTGAAAGCTTCAGCTTTGTCTGAGTTGACAGTGTAAACAGATTTTGAAAAGTGTGTGAATACAACCCTATCATACTTGAGTCAACTTACAGAATACTGATGGGAGGGTAAGCATTACTGTGTTTTAGACTGTGCATCAGCATATATAAAAATGTTTAAAATCTTCAGGGTACACCAGGGCGGTCGGGTATCCTAGTGGTTAAAGTGCTTTATTCGGGTTCAAGAAATGGGTACAATGTGTGAAGCCCATCCCCGTGATGTTGCTGGAAAATTGCTAAAAGCGGCGTAAACCTAAACTCAGTCAGTCAGTCAGTCAGGGTACATCAGTTTGAATAGAAATAGGCTAGATCTGTTAAGTGCTGAATATCGGTAGCTGGAATAGTGCCTGCAAGTCTCACGAGGTGCTATTCAGGTATTAAGCACCAACTTGAGATATGCGAGACGGTTCCCAGCTTAGTTCCGGTACCAGATTTCCGGTGACAAGTGTATATTGACCCAGCTCTGATTGTTTTGTTTTAATCATACTTTATTCATTCAAGAAAAGGATTGGGCACAAGTTATCCAACTTAGAAAAGCCCTCTCCAGATAATTACACAATTCATCTTACAACAAAGTACACAAGTGACAGACATTCTAGGATATGTACAACAGATGTTCAGTGATATAGATATGTACATATTTGAAAACATTCTGGTTTTCAGTGATTGAGAGACCTGCATTGCCATGTAAGATAGATTAATATCAATCAGTGTTCTATTTTTGACAATATGTTCTAAAGATTTTAACAGTTTATGTCTTTGAAAAGTATACAATGGACATTCAAGGAAGTAATGAAAAACATTCTCACATCTATGGCCACATTGACATGATGCGTCATTTTTTACATTTATTCTATATAAATCATAATTAAGTGTACTCGTCATATATCTTAATCTAGTGTGCATAACATTGAACTTCCTTATTCCATATGAATAATATATAGGTGCGCATTTTTCCTTCACGTGGATATAAGATTTAAACGATGCAACAGAGTCGCAATTTCTAATAGCTAAGGGAATATTATTCCACACTTTAACTGTTGATGGAATAAAAGATGACGTTGAGTACCTCAGTCTTGTATATGGTTGACTAAAGTTATTGGAGTTTCTTAACTCATAACTTGTCTGGTTGCCTACTACAGGTGGGAGTAAATCTTGAAGAAAAACTGGTGTCAGACCTTTTTGAATTTTATAAAATAATGTTAATTTGCGTCTTCTCCTTCTCTCAGAAAGTAAATCCCATCCCGTTTCATAATACAATGAACTGGAAGATGCATATCTTGGAAGACCAGTAACTATGCGTGCTGCTTCAAGTTGAAGTTTTTCTAATCTATTAGCTTGTTCAATCAAACATCCATCCCATACCTCGCATGCGTACTCAAAGTGTGGCCTTATAAATACAGTATATATTTTCGCTAGTGTTGTTCTATTTAGTAGGAACTTTAATTTCCGAAATGCTCCAATCATTTTAGATTTCTTTTTGATAATGTTTTCAATATGATGATGCCAACTCCCGTTAGACGTGAAGATTAAACCCAGATGTTTATGAAAATCGACTGTGTTTATAGTGCAGTTATCAAACTTCAAATTAATGTCTTTTCGGCCATCTTTCAAAGTATATAATATAGCTTCAGTTTTTTCCGGATTGTAAGAAATTAACCAAACCTTTGCACAACCGCTTAATATTCCTAGATTTTCATTCATGGCTCTTTCCATCACTTGTTTGTCCTTTGATAAAGTTCCCAGTGAAGTATCGTCATCGAAAAGCCGAGTTATACAATGTAGCTTATCAGCTATCTCATTTACATACACAATCTCGCAAAGTGCTGTGACATACTTACAGGCCCTATTAAATTTTGGCATATCGAAAGGTCGCATTCAAAATCTTGAATAAATTTATTTGTTTTCATTCATTGTATAGGTTTTTGGTCAAAGTTTAAGGTTATAGCGAAGGTTATCATATATCAGGAAAAGGTCAATGGTGTCAATGCTGAAGGTCAATGTTAAAGGTCAAGTTCACTACTATTGCAACATGTGTTTCAGAATTAAGGGGGGAGGTGGGGTAGCCTAGTGGTTAAAGCGTTGGCTCGTCACGCCGAGGACCTGGGTTCGAATCCCACGGGTACAATGTGTGAAGCCCATTTCTGGTGTCCCCCACCATGATGTTGCTGGAATATTGCTAAAAGCGGCGTAAAACCAAAACTCACTCAGTCAGAATTAAGGAATACAAGCCAATTTTTACAAAGAAACCTGGCCACAATGATGACAATTATATACCCAGCTCGCTTAGAGTCCAAAGGACGTTGAAGAGAGAAAACTCTGAGTGGTTGCGTTTCATCTGAAAGAATTTGTTTTTAATTGTTTGGGTATTTGGTCCAAGTTTAAGATCATAACGAAGGTTATTGTAAATCACTAGGTCAGTGTTGTCATTGCTAAAGGTCAACGTCAAAGGTGAAGGTCATACTTCAGCTGATGTAACATGTTCCAGAGAGAAGAAAAACCAGCTATCCTGAAAAAGTAACCAAAATGCTTGATTGTTATTTATGAAATTTTACAAGGGGAGTGGATAGACACAAAGAACGCTACCTTGCCATTTTTGATAAATAAATGGCAGCAAGCTGGAGAACTTTGTTTTTGCTCTTGAAATGCAATTGTTTATTCAAAGTCAGTTTTGCTGATAGGCAAAAATTGCTTCAATACCCAAAAACATCATGAGTGAGTGAGTTTAGTTTTATGGCAAACTCAGCAATATTCCATCTATATGGCGACAGTCTGTAAATAATCTGTAGACAATCCGGTGATCAACAGCATAAGCATCTATGCTATTGGATACGATGACATGTGCCAACCAAGTCAGCGAGCCTGACCTTCCCTCCCATTACTCGCCTCTTACGACAAGCTGGGTTTCTGAAGATCAATGCTAACCTGATCTTCACGGGTCTACTCTGGTGTGTGTTATATTCTCACACTTTGTAGTGGAAATTCCCCTTTCCAAACGTAATGCTAACCTGATCTTCACGGGTCTACTCTGGTGTGTGTTATGTTTCAGTTATCCAGACGGAGACCACCCTCATCCAGATGGACATCGAGATAAAGAAGTCATTACAAGTTGATAAAACAGTGAGTGGGACAATCTTTGGTGTAAACAAATAATTTGTCCCTGAAAATATTGCAAAAATGATTTTGCTCAAGTTTTGCTTGGAAAAACTTTGCATATATACTACCCATCAAAAGTCTAGACTCCCTAGTGTAAATGTAGCCTCTGACTTAAGTCAACTCTTCTAAGCTAGATTTTGCAAAATTTTCTATACTGTTTAAAGGTACTGTTTACACATGAACTGATATATTGTAAAACAAATTCGTAACATTGAAAAGATTATTGTCATGGGTTAAAAAAATGATGAAAGTGAAAATTGGTGGATTTTTAACAAAAATTTACACACACTACACTGCACGATATTTGTATGTTTTTTGGCAATTTAATGCGTGATCCTCGTGCAATTCATCTGCATAAAGTTTGCAGTTGGTTCCGCAAAGTTAGTGGAGAAATTCATCTTCGATGTAATGTCACATATATACATAACATATAGTGAGTGTTTTAAGTGAGTCTAAACTTTTGATGGGTAGTATAGATCACTCACCATCTCAAACACTTGAGGCAACATCAGCATCTTTGTTTGTCTGTTTGTCTGGTGTCCCCCCACCATGACATACTCAATCGTCAAATCATTCAGCCAATCAGCCACTCATTCAACTATTTGACTCAATCATTCAATCCATCAATCACTTGCCTTCAGCCGAAACATTTGACGTTAACGCCAACAAATTTGAATCTAACTACATAATGTAGCAATAGAGATAGTAGCCTATCTTAATTCAATCAATTCTGGCCTTTGATGTTAACGCCAACATGTTTGTTTGCAGGATGTAGACAAGTGCATTGCCATCATGGAGGATCTGGAAGCGTTGCCCGTCAACCAGATCATGCTGAAGAAAAACCCTGACATCATGAACACCATCAAGAAGGTGAGTTATCATGCATGGAAACAGTGTTGAGGTTTTGTGAAATGCAAAATTTACATCACTTGAAACGGCATTGAAACAGATCCGGTTGACACATGCCATCATATCCCAGTTGTGTAGACCGATGCTATGCTACTGATCTTTCCTCTCCAATATAGCTGGAATATTGCCGAGTGTGGCTTGAAACTAAACTCGCTCGCTCCATGTGCTGGCTGAGAGTTAAACAACAAAGTAAACATATTATGAATTTTAAAGAAGTATTTTCATTGGTGTAAAAATACTTGAAAGTTGTAATGGAAAAACATATTTAATGCCCAAAGAACACCATTAATTAATTTAAATATGAGGTGAATAATGTTTCAAGAAATGTTGTGAATCCCTGTTTCCTTGATCTGGCCCTGATTTCTCGAAACAAACTTTAGTTTTTACTCCAATTTCAGACTGAATTTGACAATTTGAAACAGCTGAATTTTTAACTCAACTGCATTGTTTCAATAAATACTCTATCCTGCAAACTCAAATTGTCAACTATGTTTGAGTTCAAAAATTGATTCCAGTTCATTCTGGGAAATGCATTTTCCTGCGCTTTCTCAAATTTGAGTAACTCCCAACCTCAGTAGAGACTTATGTCAACCTTAGCTTTAATCTTGTCTACAACAGCGCTCTGATTGTTTGTTCGGGCCTGGCGCAGATAATATTATCCAAACTACTCATCTCTGATGTACTGCCAAAATGACTCGAAATCTTCACACAGTCACTCTCTCACTCACTCACTCACTCTCCTTCACTGACTCACTCTCACTGACTCAATCACTAACCCACTCACTCACTCCGGATGTCTTCTTGGACAGAGTTAGGTCACAGTGATGACAATTATAATCCCAGCTCGCTTAGAGTCTAAGGACGTTGAAGAGAGAAAACTCTGAGTGACCTGAACTTTGAAAGTATTTTTCAAAACCAAATTAATGTCAAATCAAGTCAGTACCAGACAATCCAATCGTGTCAACATTAATAATAATAATATTATCCCCAGCCACCAAGTGGGAAGGGGATATAGGTTTGAGCTTCGTCCATATTGCGGAGATGATGGGGTCTGATTTTCTTTAAAAACAACATTATAAATAGGGAAACCAAATTTGGTAGGTATTTTCAGGACATGAATGCTTTAATGGAGTTCGAAAACGGAAACCGTGTTAAAATTTGTTACAGAGTTATGGCTCTTGTCATTTGTTTCTTGACTTTGCTCATGTTATCCCCAGTGGGGACGGATTTTCTCAGAAACTGTTATAGATAGGGAAACCAAATGTGGTATGTGTTGTCAGGACATGAATGTCATGGTGATGTGTTCACTGTTTGTCTGGGCTAGTACAAGCAGCCGCACATACACATACACACGCATGCACGTCGTCATATGAGTGAAATATTCTCAAGCACGACATTAACCCAATTTCACCTCACCTCACCTCACCTCACCTCACCTCACCTCATGTACTACTGTATGTCGATAGAATCTTCAAGATAAGCAACCTGAAACATGACCCAAAAGTCATTGAAACAGGAAATTAATAAGTTTATTTTTTAACATTTTGGAATTATATCATCAAAAATATCCTGCAGTTTATTCTTATTCCGTGATTCGTGGAGAGTGTTCACTGCCAATCACCATGATCACAGATACTAAATCATCACAGGGAGGTTGGGTAGGAATTTCATGCTGCTGTTTCATAGAAATTTAAAGGTTTATAGACTAATTTTTCCTATTTATATGTTTAATATGTTTTGACAAATCCATTCATACAATTTGAAAAACAACAATATGCGCAATAACTGACAGGTCACATAAATTACTGAAAAAAACTAGTATTTTCCATCACTTATTGCTGACAGGGCATCTCAAGGGTAGGCACCTCTGGTGGCATATAGAAATTCCCTAGGTAGGTACAGATTGTAGGTACACTTCTGGTAATGAGAACTTATAGTAGCAAAAATGGTATCCTTTTGGCGATTTGATTTGATGTACTTTGAGACATGAAGCAAATACTTGTTGATGGACCTTTCTCTTCACACTGAGACAAATTTGATTTCTCATCAGTCCCAAAACTAGCAAGAATGGTCACAGTGATGACAATTATAATCCCAGCTCGCTTGGAGTCTAAGGACGTTGAAGAGAGAAAACTTTGAGTGACCTTAACCGTGAACCTGTACTTTAAATTTTAACAAAGCGCTTTTAGTTCAAGTATATTTTGTTCATATGTTAGTCCAATATTAGACAGTTAAGATTGATGCTGTTAAGTTCTTGTCTGGAAACAAGATCTGTAACCCCAACCCAGTCAGGTCGCACTGTCATCCATGGACAGAAGCAAAAAGAACAGTCAAAGATCTGGCAATCAAAATCCCAGCTTTCTCAGATTCCATACTCACTCACTCCACTCCGCTCCACCCCACTCTACTCTACTCCACTCCACAACACCCCATCCCACCCCACTCTGCTCCACTCCACCCCCACAACACCCCATCCCACCCCACTCCACCCCCTCCTCCGCTCCATTCCCACAACACCCCATCCCACCCAACTGTACTCTCCACTCCACCCCCACAACATCCCATCCCACCCCACTCTACTCCTCTCCACTCCACCCCACAACACCCCATCCCACCCCACTCTACTCTACTCCACTCCACCCCCACAACACCCCACCTCATTCCCCCCTCTACTCCACTCCACTCCACCCCCACAACACCCCACCTCACCCCACTCTACTCCACTCCACTCCATCCCCCCACAACGCCCCACCTCACCCGCTCTACTCCACTCCACTCCACTCCACCCACAACACCCCACCTCCCACCCTGCTCTACTCCACTCCACTCCACCCCCACAACACCCCCACCTCACCCCTCTCTACTCCACTCCACTCCCCCCCACAACACCCCACCTCACCCCACTCTACTCCACTCCACTCCACCCCACAACACCCCCATCCCACCCGCTCTACTCCACTCCACTCCACCCCCACAACACCCCATCCCACCCCACTCCACTCCACTCCACCCCCACAACACCCCATCCCTCCCCACCACTCCACTCACACTCCCTCACCCCACCTCACTCTCACTCCCACTCCACTCCCTCCTCGACACCCCATCTCACCCACAACACCCCACCCCACCGTTATCGACCCTTGAAGATCCAGGCTGGAATTGGCCTACAGTAACCCATGCTTGTCGTAAGAGGCGACTAACGGGATTGAGCGGTTAGACCAGAAACTTGTCATCGTATTGCAATTGCATTGATTGGTGCTCATGATGTCAATCACTGGATTGTCTGGTCCAGACTCGATTATTTACAGACCACTGCTGAATAATGCTGAGAAAACTGGGTGACGTTAAACTGTGAACGTGTTTATCCTCATGATGTAGCAGTTAAATCTGACTCAATTGAGGAAACACTGGTGACTATTTTGCTGAGAAATGGTCCTCAGTAACACATGTGAAGAGGTGACTTAATGGGACTGTCATCAGACTTCGTTTGTTCCTACATTTTGTTTATTGTTTACAGGATGCCTTCATATAGCTGGAATAGTGTAGAATATGGTAGGATACCAATGAACTAATTGTAACATTTGGAAAGGGAATTTACAGTCAAAGAGGGCCTCATAATGTCAATCACTGGATTAACTCGATTTTTACACACTGTTGTTATACAGCTGGTATTTTGCTGAGCGTTAAACCTCAAACAGACTCGCTTGATAAATTGTGTATTCATCTGGGCCGCCGTGATGTTGCTGGAATATTGCTGAAAGCAGCGTAAAACCAAACTCAGTCCGTCAGTATTCATCTGGGGGTTAGTTCAGCTCACCATATACCCGGGTTTGATTCCCCACATAGGCACAATGTGTGAAGCCCATTTCTGGTGTCCCCTGCCCTTATAGTGCTGAAATTTTGCTAAAGTGGCGTAAAACTTCACCAACTCACTCCCTCACTCACTCACTCACTCACTCACTCACTCACTCACTCACTCACTCACTCACTCACTCACTCACTCACTCACTCGCTCGCTCACTCAAATAGAAAAAACCTGTTTGTTTTCAAGTCTGCATGTCAAATTATCAAATATATGGTCGCAGTGATGACAGTTATAATCCCAGCTCGCTTAGAGTCTAAGGACGTTGAAGAGAGAAAACTCTGAGTGACCTTTTACAGTGTTAAAGCTATGGTAGCCATTATCACATAGTAAAACTTAAGTGTTGGGGTGATGGGCTCATGAATGCTTTGAGGATAGCACCCCTGATTTAGTCTTTTAGGGGCATTGGGGTAGCCTAGTGGTTAAAGCGTTCGCTCGTCACGCCAAAGACCCGGGTTCGATTTCCCACATTGGCACAATGTGTGAAGCCCATTGATATTGCTGGAATATTGCTAAAAGCGGCGTATAACAAAACTCGCTCACTAGTCTGTGGTTTCAGTGTCGGAAGTACAAGGGCAGCGATCGCATCAAGTCCAAGGCGGAAGTGATATACAACAAGTTCAAGGCACTATTTGTCATGGGAGATGGAGAAGCTCCTCCACAGGTGAGTGATCAGGCTTGAGTAGGATGGCATATTAATACACCATCTCACTTCTGTGAGGCTGAGGGGTGTAGCCCAGTGGTAACAGTGTCCATTCATCACACTAAAGACCCGGGTTCGATTCCCCACATGAGTGCAATGTGTGAAGCCCATTTCTGGTGTCCCCCTGCCGTGATATTGCTGGAATATTGCTAAAAATGAGTAAAACCAAATTCACTATGAGTAGCAGTGTTCACGAATAGCATCTCACCCTCTGACAAATCCGACAGATTCGCCAACGGTCAGACAGAAGTTTACAACCCGCCGGCCCCAGTGTCTGACTGTATATTTCACAATGACTTTGACTGAAGTTGTTTTATGTGACATGTGACACTTGTTTGCTGTTTATAAATCTTATGTTTGTTAATAATTTCAATGTCAGTTATAAGAAATATTAAATCTGAAATGTGTGTTTAATTTTATTCCATGCGTCCTGAGCATTTTCAATGGGTCAGACAGACACCTGAAACTTACAGGACCCAATGTCCTGTGATTTGAAACCCCATTCGTGAACACTGGAGTAGTGAACATTGTAGATGTGTATGGATTGTTGCAACTTTGTCTGTTGTTGCAACTTTGTCTGTCTGTTGTTGCAGCTGACGGAGATGAAGAAGAAACCAGAACTGAACCAAAAGGAGAACAAGGAGAACGAACTTGACACACAGAAAGGTAGGTTGTACCACCACGATGGTATTTGACACAGAGAAAGGTAGGTTGTACCACCACGATGTTATTTGACACAGAGAAAGGTAGGTTGTACCACCACGATGTTATTTGACACAGAGAAAGGTAGGTTGTACCACCACGATGTTATTTGACACAGAGAAAGGTAGGTTGTACCACCCACGATGTTATTTGACACAGAGAAAGGTAGGTTGTACCACCACGATGTTATTTGACACAGAGAAAGGTAGGTTGTACCACCACGATGTTATTTGACACAGAGAAAGGTAGGTTGTACCACCACGATGTTATTTGACATAGAGAAAGGTAGGTTGTACCACCACCGATGTTATTTGACACAGAGAAAGGTAGGTTGTACCACCACGATGTTATTTGACAGGTTGTAGAGAAAGGTAGGTTGTACCACCACGATGTTATTTGACATAGAGAAAGGTAGGTTGTACCACCACGATGTTATTTGACATAGAGAAAGGTAGGTTGTACCACCACGATGTTATTTGACACAGAGAAAGGTAGGTTGTACCACCACGATGTTATTTGACACAGAGAAAGGTAGGTTGTACCACCACGATGTTATTTGACACAGAGAAAGGTAGGTTGTACCACCACGATGTTATTTGACACAGAGAAAGGTAGGTTGTACCACCACGATGTTATTTGACACAGAGAAAGGTAGGTTGTACCACCACGATGTTATTTGACACAGAAAGGTAGGTTGTACCACCACGATGTTATTTGACACAGAGAAAGGTAGGTTGTACCACCACGATGTTATTTGACACAGAGAAAGGTAGGTTGTACCACCACGATGTTATTTGACACAGAGAAAGGTAGGTTGTACCACCAACGCATGTTATTTGACACAGAAAGGTAGGTTGTACCACCACGATGTTATTTGACACAGAAAGGTAGGTTGTACCACCACGATGTTATTTGACACAGAGAAAGGTAGGTTGTACCACCACGATGTTATTTGACACAGAGAAAGGTAGGTTGTACCACCACGATGTTATTTGACACAGAGAAAGGTAAGTTGTACCACCACGATGTTATTGGACACAGAGAAAGGTAGGTTGTACCACCACGATGGTATTTGACACAGAGAAAGGTAGGTTGTACCACCACGATGTTATTTGACACAGAGAAAGGTAGGTTGTACCACCATGATGTTATTTGACACAGAGAAAGGTAGGTTGTACCACCACGATGTTATTATCCCCCGCAACGCGTTTTGCGGGGGGTATTAAAATGGACTCCGTCCGTCCGTCCGTCCGTCTATCCGGTCCGTCCGTGCACATTTGTCTTTTCCGGAGCAGAACTCTAAAACCGTTCAATATTTCTTCACCAAACTTGGCACATACATGGATCTGGTGGTGTTGTGGTGCCTTTTGGTAGTTTTGGAATTCTGAATAAAATATTTTTGGCGTTTCCATGGCACAAGTTCGACTTAGACTGAAATTGGTGGTAGCGCTCTTTTCCGGAGCAGAACTCTAAAACCGTTCAATATGTCTTCACCAAACTTGGCACATAGATAGATCTGGTGGTGTAGTGGTGCCTTTTGGTAGTTTTGGAATTCTGAATAAAATATTTTTGGGGTTTCCATGGCACAAGTTCGACTTAGACTGAAATTGGTGGTAGTGCTCTTTTCCGGAGCAGAACTCTAAAACCGTTCAATATGTCTTCACCAAACTTGGCACATAGATAGATCTGGTGGTGTAGTGGTGCCTTTTGGTAGTTTTGGAATTCTGAATTAAAATATTTTTGGCGTTTCCATGGCAACAAGTTCGACTTAGCCTGAAATTGGTGGTAGTGCTCTTTTCCGGAGCAGAACTCTAAAACCGTTCAATATGTCGTCACCAAACATGGCACATAGATAGATCTGGTGGTGTACTGGTGCCTTTTGGTAGTTTTGGAATTCTGAATCAAATATTTTTGGCGTTTCCATGGCACAAGTTCGACTTAGACTGAAATTGGTGGTAGTGCTCTTTTCCGGAGCAGAACTCTAAAACCGTTCAATATGTCGTCACCAAACATGGCACATAGATTGATCTGGTGGTGTACTGGTGCCTTTTGGTAGTTTTGGAATTCTGAATAAAATATTTTTGGCATTTCCATGGCAACAAGTTTGACTTACACTGAAATTGGTGATAGTGCTCCTTTCTGGAGCAGAACTTTTAAACCCTTTCAATACTCTCCTTCCACTTTTCTATGTACACACCTAAATATTTGACATAATCATAACTCGTAGACATAATCATGAAGAGTATTTTGCCATTGCGGGGGATATTGATGACTTTGTCTTCTTGTTTGACACAGAAAGGTAGGTTGTACCACCACGATGTTATTGGACAGAGAAAGGTAGGTTGTACCACCACGATGTTATTTGACACAGAAAGGTAGGTTGTACCACCACGATGTTATTTGACACAGAAAGGTAGGTTGTACCACCACGATGTTATTTGACACTGAGAAAGGTAGGTTGTACCACCACGATGTTATTTGACACAGAGAAAGGTAGGTTGTACCACCAAAATGTTATTGGACACAGAGAAAGGAAAGGTTATTGGTTGTACCACCACGATGTTATTTGACACAGAGAAAGGTAGGTTGTACCACCAAAATGTTATTGGACACAGAGAAAGGTAGGTTGTACCACCACGATGTTATTGGACACAGAGAAAGGTAGGTTGTACCACCACGATGTTATTGGACACAGAGAAAGGTAGGTTGTACCACCACGATGTTATTTGACACAGAAAGGTAGGTTGTACCACCACGATGTTATTTGACACTGGGAAAGGTAGGTTGTACCACCACAATGTTATTTGACACAGAGAAAGGTAGGTTGTACAACCACAATGTTATTTGACACAGAGAAAGGTAGGTTGTACCACCACGATGTTATTTGACACAGAGAAAGGTAGGTTGTACCACCACGATGTTATTTGACACTGAGAAAGGTAGGTTGTACCACCACGATGTTATTTGACACAGAAAGGTAGGTTGTACCACCGCGATGTTATTTGACACAGAAAGGTAGGTTGTACCACCACGATGTTATTTGACACTGAGAAAGGTAGGTTGTACCACCACGATGTTATTGGACACAGAAAGGTAGGTTGTACCACCACGATGTTATTTGACACAGAAAGGTAGGTTGTACCACCACGATGTTATTTGACACAGAGAAAGGTAGGTTGTACCACCACGATGTTATTTAACACTGAGAAAGGTAGGTTGTACCACCACGATGTTATTGGACACAGAAAGGTAGGTTGTACCACCGCGATGTTATTTGACACAGAAAGGTAGGTTGTACCACCACGATGTTATTTGACACTGAGAAAGGTAGGTTGTACCACCGCGATGGTATTTGACACAGAGAAAGGTAGGTTGTACCACCACAATGTTATTTGACACAGAGAAAGGTAGGTTGTACCACCATGATGTTATTTGCCAAACACTGAGAGAAAGACTGTCAGTTTCCACACTGAGCTATGAACAGTGGTAATGATTATCGAGGTCCCTCGTGTTGCTGATTTGCTGCCTTCACATGGGCCCTTCTTACTGAAGCTTCCACTGGTTATCCAGAAACGGTTACCTTCCCCATTCTTTTCTATGAAACTCTTATTGTCACTCCTAACTTGCTTCCCCCATCCACCCATCCACAAACCCAACCAAACTCCATCCATCCATTAAGAACCCACCCATTCATCCATCCATCCATCCACCCACCCATTTATCCATCCATCCATTAAGAACCCACCCATTGATCCATCCATCCATCCACCCACCCATTCATCATCCATCAAAACCCATCCATCCATCATTCATCCATCAAAACACCCAAAACCCATCCATCCCAAACACCCCTTCCCATCCATACATTTTTATATTCATATTCATTGCTGGGTTGTCCATCCATCCATCTGTCTAAAACCGACCCATCCATCTATCAAAACACCCCAACCCACCTGTCATTGCTGGGTTGTCCATCCATCCATCTGTCAAAAAACGACCCCTCCATCTATCAAAACATCCCAACCCACCTGTCCATCCATCCATTTTCATATACTTTGCTCATTTGTCCATCCATCCATCCACTCACCTATCCATTTTCAGATTTTATATCTTGTCCAGAGTAGATTTTTATCAGGATGTCTTATAACTGAAATATTTTGAAATTTGTTGTTAAGCAGTAAACAAAGTGTCTAAACTTCAATATGTTACATGTTTTGCTAAGTTATCACACAACCCTTCCAGGCAGTGATTCCACACCGACGGACAACAAAGTGAATGATATAACCGATGGCAACAAAGACACAAACCTTTCTGCGGAATCGGCCGTGCTGTTGGAATCGGTAGGCGGAGGCGGAGGAGACCCAAAGGATCCCAATCCGTTCTTCTTCTCGAAACCATCAGCAGTTATTCCAGGGTTAGATCTCATCAATCCAAACCAAGCCGGTCGTCCAAAACCCGTCCCCCAGCCGGTGCCCCAACCTGAACCAAACATACCAGAAAACATCAAGGCAGTGTTGTCAGACCTCAGTGACGAGGAGACTGACGCCAAGGTGAAGGTTGCAGGGGGGGCGGCACCAAACGTGGAGGTACCAAGTCTGGAGGTACCGAATCTGGAGGTACCAAACCGTGAAAGTGACACGAAAGACAAAACCCCTGTGGAACCGGTGGTGCCAGATCAGACGGATCTCTTTCAAGGATCTGTGAACGAAAATTCCAGAGATGTTGTGGAAGGGTCCGAGCCAAAGAAAGTGTCCGGGATTTTAGATCTGCCACTTCCAGATGTTGACACAGACAATAGTAACATGACGCCGCTCACCGGCGCCGACACCCCTGCTTCCAGAGTGGAGGGGTCAAGTCCCCTCGTGAACCCTGTGGGTGCTTCAGGGAACACGACCGACACAAGTGTCATCCCTTCACCGGTTGTGGATTCCGATTCGGCAAAGGAGCCTTCCCATGATGCACCCCATGCTGTGACATCGCCACCGGTGGAAGTGGCGGTGGCTCAAGAATCAGCGATGGAGACAGTGGCGTCACTTGTACCTGACTCGGCAGCGGTAGTTCCGGAGACGTCAACGACAAAGTTCCACAACGAGGAGGAGGAAGAGGAGGAGGAGGAAGATGTGGAGACAACAGTGAGTAAGAAATAGGAAAACAAACGTGCAGTTCCATGCTATTGACACACTGAGAGGGTGTATAGGCTCACATCATTATCTGTTATTATTTTAATCGTAGTATATCAGTGACCCGTGAAGATCCAGATTGGAATTGATCTTCAGTAATCCATGCTTATCGTAAGAGGCGACTAACGGGATCGGGTGGTCAGGCTTGCTTGATTGGTTGACACATGTCATCTGTTCCCAATGGCGCTGATCGATGCTCATGCTGTTGATCCCTGGATTGTCAGGTCCAGACTTGATTATTTGCAGACCGCCGCCATATAGCTGGAATATTGCTGAGAGCGGCGTAAAACTAAACTTACACACTCACTAGTATATCAGTGCATTTTAGGTAATGGCTAATGGCAGACTCACACAGGTCGGCCGTCAAATCAATATGGCGAATTCGATGGAATTGTATCATCTGAGTGATTAATCAAATTCAACAAACGGTACGAATCAGCCGCTCAAACCCACATTGATTGTGTCAGGAGTGTGTAGAGCCTGTTCTAGTTATTCAACAAGTTGGATGTGGTGCGGCCAATCAAATTGCGTTTTTTGTATCACGTGGTAAATGTTTACATACAAGCATAAAACATGGCGTTGTCTGCATCAAAGAAACCACGCCTCAATTTTTCATTATCTGAGTCACAAAACTATGGAATATCATGATGGGGAGTCCAATCTTTTGTCCAAATCTTTTTCTTCACTTGGCATTGCCAATGTCTTCACATTTAACATAACAGACAGAATACCCAAATAAATATGTGACCCACTAATAACTTCACTGAAGCCCATTTCTGGTGTCCCCCGCAGTGACCTTTGCTGGAATATTTCTAAAAGCGGCGTAAAACTAAACTCACTCACTCACTAATTACTTACCTTCGACAGTAGGTGTCCATCACCTACCTGTAATCTTGCCTTGTTGCTAAAATGCTGGGAGTAATGTTTCATATGTGCTTTGTTTTATCCGAAATTTGCTTCCAAAGAACCCTAACTAAATTCCTGTGAAATACCCCTTTGTTTGCATCTGCTGCAGGATCGACGTGACCTGAATGCTCGCATCCAAGAGATCATTATGGGAACACAGGAGAAGAAGGGACCAGCGTCGTTGCCTGACGAAGACGGCGGTAGTGAGAGCGACCCAGTCATGGACGATGACGAACTCCATTCTCTGCTGGGGGTATGAAGTTGAGGAGGTTGTTGGTTGTGTGGATGTCTTTCAACTTCATTGTAGTCGCGTATGGAAATGATGTCTTCATTTATTTGGTGATAAGGCAAATAATTCTCTCTAACAGTCGCTGTTGGTTTAGAATATCACTGGTCTGGGCACAAACCCCTGATATTGGGAAACCAGAAAAGAGCAATGAGGAAATGTGACGAAAGAACTTCCAGGAGAATAGTTCCTGGTGACGGAGAAGAAAACCAATAATCCTTCAGCTCTAAATAATGGAGAAAACAAATGTCAGCGCGACGTCTACAATCAAACAGAAAATATTGGTGAACATGGATATTCAGAAAAGAAGTTCCCATCCAGGATGTGTAGTGATACGAAGGAAGTGATGAGGCAGGGGATTGTGGGTAGTCTTCACTGACCTTGACATGACCCTTCTTGCGAGTGAGGAATTCGTGATTCTCATTTCAAGGTTTACAATGATGAACGGCAAGTAAACGAAACATTTCAACATTTCATTCATCCTGTAATTATCTGTATCTCTGCCGAACATATTAGTCGGATATCGTTAAGTTGTGCAGTGTCGAGCAGGATGATTCACTGGTTCAAGGACAACAGAATTCTTTGACACACAGCCTTGGCGCATCGATTCAAAGAAGTGAAATGTCGGGCTCATACACTGTCTGAAAGTGTGCCAATTTTCTGGAACCTGTTAAATGTTCAGCTTGAAGTTGTGAAGTGGAGTCATGCACGTTTATTATTTAGTGTCAAACTGTTGTGTAGACCATCTGTGGCATTAGGATGCAACATCTGTCATTCACTGCCGTTATGAATCAAACACGAACCTTTTCCATAAAATTTGTGCTTGTGACAAATGAGTGACTAGTTAAATCTGTGGAAGAATATCGGTACAAAATTTAGCAGTTGACTCAAAAGATTCTGGTGCAAAGACATTAACTTTGGATCAGTTCTGGGCTGACGTTTATATGAAGTTTCAGTGAGATATTGGACTGGGAATTATATGAAGTATTGATGTATCAACTTGAGGAATGGAGAGTGTGTGTCAGTGTTTTAAAGTACACAATAAATGTTCATCTTGTCCTGTGGTTTCATGTCTTCCCTGAGACTTTGAAACAAGCTGCCATTATTGACAGCAGTGTATTAAATAAGCCAAAAACCCAGCCAGACATCAGGGCTGGTATCTTCAAAATGTTACCAGCCTTAAATGGATTTAACCAGACCAGACACCAAGATATGGCAAATTTACTCAAGATGTATGGAATATATAAAATATTTACCGGACCATCGGGCTGGCTAGCTGTACTAGACCATTGGTCAGAAATCTAGCCAGTCACGGACGGGCTTATTTCATACACTGTTGACAGTGTAAAACATTGGTAGGAAAGTTGTCAGTGATTCTAGAGATATGTTTAATGTGTATTATTATCATTGTGTTACTGAATACAGTGTTGGTAACATCATGAGGTTTCAGTAGCCCCTGGTGGCCCTCAGTGATGGGCCGTTGACTCTCAGGTCTCCAAAATTGTAAAACCTGTATCTAAGGCAACATGTAATATGTTGTATATCAAAAGGTCAGACATATTGGTCATTTATATGCTCAGCTGCCAACTGTCGCATTTGTCACACATTTTCTTCCAAATTATACAAAAAACTGTGATTCCTTCTAAATTTATTTGAATAATATGCCGTCTTGGAAATGTTTTATCCTTATAAGTAATGGTAAATAACTGAGTGGTGATACAGCCTTCTGATGACAGCCATCGGTCATCATGACAAAGGCTTCCTATCTCCATATTGTTACAATCTGTGAAACCAGTTAATGGCGTCCCTGCCATGATATTGCTGGAATATTGTTAAAAACGTAAAACCGAAGTAATTTTGCAACTTGGTGTATTGTCTAACAAAACTTGAACAGGTATCGTGGAATTGTTAGGTTCTCAATCCCCCAATTTCTTACAGATGGATTTTCTATACTAGGATGCCAAATGTTGTGTATTTTCTCAAAAAGAAATATTTCTTTTATGCTCAGTAATCAAAATTCTACTAATCAAGAATGTGTCATTATTAAGAATAAATAGTCACATTCAGTATATACCTTGCCTTTTAAATTAAAACGAGAATTAAAGGGGCTTGTCAATATGTTTAAGTGTGTTTTGTAATGTATGTAGTTTTGTGAGACGTAGTGTTATATACGAATGTTCTGTACAAGAGTGACAGCCAGTGTTGTATATAGCAGATGTCACATCTCATGATTGGTGTAGATTTCTAACTTGCCTGTTTTAGTTCTGTATATGGATAGATAGTTCAAGGGCCCATGCTGAAGTTGATTTGGGTCTGATGTTGTGTGTGGGTGCGTGTGTGTCTATATGTATGTATGTACGCATGTGTGTATGTGTGTGTGCATGTGTGTGTCTGTATGTGCGTGTATGTGTATTTGACATATCAATGTGTACAGATGGTGACTTGTCAGGAGAAGGTGATATGGAAACTTTTTAATGAATTAAGGATAACAATATATGGATGAATAAGTTTATAACAGCAGGAGCAATTGTGTTGGTTCTAACGCCGTTATCAAACACATTTTCCGTTATCCCTTGCCGCGCTCACTGTAAAAAAGAAGCTGTTCATCCATGAATTGTTATCCTTCCTTACTGCTCCAACTTCTATTAAAAAAAGTATTTTTGTGAAATCTAGACTTGTGTGATGGAAACTTAAATAATGGAAATAGTTGCGATTTCAAATACAGTCGAACAGTGATGTGGCAAAAGAGGGGTAGCCTAATGGCTAAAGCGTTCGCTCGTCAAGCTGGAGACCTGGGTTCGATTCCCCACATGGGTACAACTGCCATTTTCTTTTATACCCCGGCGTGATATTGCTTGATTATTTCTAAAGCCATTCTCACTCACTCACTCTCACTGACTAACCATTGTGGTAATGACAACTGTTTTGTCTTCAAACTTAATGGTGATAAACATGAATTTAATAAAGAAGCACATTTACGAAATACAAGGCAAGAATATATCATTCGTGTTTATTTCCCTGTTAAAATGAAGTGTTTTGAAACACTAAGCCCGACCCTGTTATTGGGGTCAATTTTAGCATTAGAAGAAATACATCCTGCAATTGCAACCTCATATAACAACTTCCACTAGTGCATGTCAATGTTTTGCTGTTGGAGAACACAGAATTCAGCTGGAAATCAAAATGAAGAGGGACTAGCAGGGAACAGTGTGTGCCAGGACAGTGAATGACTTACTGTTCACGTCATGAATGTTTGTGATCATAAATGGTCTTTAATTTTGGTAATATTGGTGTTCTAAATCATGAATACCGAAACTCAAGCATTCTGTATAATGTTATATTGAGTAGCAGGTGCAACCTGTTTGTCTGGTGCAACATGGTTAAGACCTAAGGTTGCACCAGGTGCATGCAGGTTTCAAGTCCTGAAGCCCTGCTGTTAGGTCCTGTTGATGTGCAAATGTGAACTCCTTGTTGGGACATAGCTGACCAAACTGTCATAGACTCTGTTCTTGCCTCCCTTTATCGTGCAAGGATTCCTTGACCAAGTCAGAATGGTGATTGTAATGCTTGGTGAGAACCAGAACCAAGTCAGAATAGTGATTGTAATGCTTGATGAGAGCCAGAACCAAGTCAGAATGGTGATTGTAATGCTTGATGAGAGCCCTTACCAAGTCAGAATGGTGATTGTAATGCTTGATGAGAGCCCTTACCAAGTCAGAATGGTGATTGTAATGCTTGATGAGAGCCCTTACCAAGTCAGAATGGTGATTGTAATGCTTGATGAGAGCCCTTACCAAGTCAGAATGGTGACTGTAATGCTTGATGAGAGCCCGAACCAAGTCAGAATGGTGATTGTAATGCTTGGTGAGAGCCAGAACCAAGTCAGACTGGTGATTGAAATGCTTGATGAGAGCCCTTACCAAGTCAGAATGGTGATTGTAATGCTTGATGAGAGCCCTTACCAAGTCAGAATGGTGATTGTAATGCTTGATGATAGCCAGAACCAAGTCAGAATGGTGACTGTAATGCTTGATGATAGCCAGAACCAAGTCAGAATGGTGACTGTAATGCTTGATGATAGCCAGAACCAAGTCAGAATGGTGATTGTAATGCTTGATGAGAGCCCGAACCAAGTCAGAATGGTGATTGTAATGCTTGATGAGAGCCCGAACCAAGTCAGAATGGTGATTGTAATGCTTGATGAGAGCCCTTACCAAGTCAGAATGGTGATTGTAATGCTTGGTGAGAACAAGAACCAAGTCAGAATGGTGATTGTAATGCTTGATGAGCGCCCGAACCAAGTCAGAATGGTGATTGTAATGCTTGATGAGAGCCCGTACCAAGTCGGAGTGGTGATTGTAATGCTTGATGAGAGCCAGAAGCAAGTCAGAATGGTGATTGTATTGCTTGATGAGAGCCAGAACCAAGTCAGAATGGTGATTGTAATGCTTGATGAGAGCCAGAACCACTGACAATGCATCACTTCCACCTCCACAAATGAAGATCCAGGTTAGACTTGATTTTCATCATCCCATGCTTGTCGTAACAGCCGGCCAAAGGATTGGGTGTTCAGGCTCCCTGACTTGGTTGACACATGCCATCCAGCATCGTATTGCTGTCCCTTAGATGATCATGGTGTCTGTCACAGAATAGTCTGGTCCAGAGTGAATAATTTACAGATCACCATTATAGCCAAAATATTGCTGAGCATTTAACACAGGGACATTTCTCGGCCATATACTTTCATGATTGTTATGGCCTTGAACATTGCTGTGTAGGTTGAGCCACGTTCACCTGGGAAAGTCACTGGAATTTACAATCTGTACTATTGAATGAAAGTGAGATGTCATGAAATGGACTATCTATATGTATGTCATTGATATTGTAGTCTTGTATTATAGAGGACGTGCCTCTTGAGAATGTCCATTTTGATCCGTCAGCCAAGTTGCACCCACTCGGACCACATTTCAGAGTTTATTGTATTTATTGTAGTTCGAATGTGTTCCTGCAAGGGGATATAACTCTTCAAGGGAGACAACTGTTACTTTGTCCTCTTGTGTGCTTCATCTATTGTAACATATTGAGTGCTTGAAGCGTTGTCGAAAAGTTCGTTGTCGACAGTAAAATCATGAAATAATAAACTTGCATCATTTGAATGTAGATTGTTTGTTTGTTTGTTTAACCCTATGCTCAACTGCTATGAAACTGGAATATTTCTGTCTGTAAATAATCGAGTCTGGACCAGACAATCCAGTGATCAACAGCATGCGCATTGATATACGGAACTGGGAACCGATGACATGTGTCAACCAAGTCAGCAAGCCTGACCACCCCATCCTGTTACTTGCCGCTTACTACAAGCATGGGTTACTGAAGACCAATTCTCACCCAGATCTTCACGGGTTTAGAACGTCTTGAGCATTCATCTGCACAATTGGGATAGGGTGACGTGTCAACCAAGTCAATGAGCCTGACCACTACATCCTTTTACATCAAGCATGGGTTACTGAAGACCAATTCTAACCCAGATCTTCACGGGTTTAGAACGTCTTGAGCATTCATCTGCACAATTGGGGATAGGATGACGTGTCAACCAAGTCAATGAGCCTGACCACTGCATCCTTTTAAATCAAGCATGGGTTACTGAAGACCAATTCTAACCCAGATCTTCACGGGTTTAGAACGTCTTGAGCATTCATCTGCACAATTGGGATAGGATGACCTGTCAACCAAGTCAATGACCTGACCACCAGATCCTTTTACAACAAGCATGGGTTGCTGAAGACAGTTCTAACTTGAAGTTGTGGTGTTGTAATTTGGTGGTTGTGCATCAACGGAGCTCATGTGTAGAATTAGTTCCTGAAACACTTGTTTGTCCTGGAACACGTGGTTCTCCTGAAACACTTGGTTGTTCTGGAACACGTGGTTGTCCTGGAACACGTGGTTGTCCTGGAACACGTGGTTGTCCTGGAACACTTGGTTGTACTGAAACACGTGGTTGTCCTGGAACACTTGTTTGTCCTGGAACACGTGGTTGTAATAAAACACTTGGTTGTCCT